TATCCGATATCTCCTACCAAGAAAAACAGAGCGCCGCTACTGGTTTTGCGTTACGAAAGTAGAAAGAAGACATAGTCTGTGTGACCAATGCAAACCAATGACCATTTTATCGGATTCTCAAGTGTTTCTTCGTTGACTGAATTTACTAATACATTTAAGGAATTAAAAAAATATACGAAATACAAATATATATATATCTAAATATATTCAATCAATTTTTGTTTTATGTTTCGAAATTATTAATCGATATATTAGCAAATTAATAATTGAAAGAAAAAGAAAAAGAAAAAGAAAAAGAAAAAACAAAAAAATTTTTGTATGATAAATTACATTCGATTTATAGTGTTGGAAAATCTTTCGAGACTATACTTATGAACGCGGCCTAAGGCCCCACTTTACCCCACCATCGTTGTATGGTTGGCCTCGTCGACGTACTACGAACAATCGCGCATGCGCGGCAGAACAAAACGTTATAAACATACGCATCGTTCTCATTCTCTCGCACACGCGAGTACTACACTACAAACGTATAAGTACACATGCATGTATACACAGGTAGAAAAGCATCACGATAATAGCCTTTGAAAGACACGATCCACTCACCGAGAGTTCCACAAAGAAGCAGAAACGACAGCAAAAAATACTGAGGCCTCGCCCAGGTCCGTATAATGTGGTTGCTAGTAAGTTGTCGCGACATGTTTCCTTTCTTGCCCTTGTTATTCTTTTCTTCCCGGCTGGATGTTCTAGCCGAAGCAACCACGTTGTTGCTTCTTTTTCCTTATATTATTTCGCAGGTTCACCTGAATTTCTTTTCTTGTATCAATCCTTATACCAACTTTCAACGATTGTTAAAGTACATCATCACCAGTGCACATGGTTCTCATGATCTCTTTTTTCTTTTTCTTCAAATTTTTTTGCTTAACACGATAAATAAAACACCCGTTACACACTGCACTTAAAAGGACTATTCGCTTTGAACCGAGGACAACACGAATCAAACGCTACCCTCGAAAGACCGACGCCACAGAAACGCGCCTACCCGACTGAACGGCGAGGACGCGCGATTCGTTCGCGGTACCCTGTGCTTTCTCGTTGCCTGCGTGCTTGCCTGTCTTGCTTACTTGCTTGCCTGTTCGCCTGCCCCGAATACCTACCCTCCCTACCGTCTCTCTCCTCACCCTATTCTTCCCTTCTCTATGTTCTCCCCGCTCCTCTAGCCCCACATTACCAATCCCGTCACCAGCATACAAACAGTATTCCCCCACTTGCTAACTACTTGTTGATCGTATTTCAGGGACGGATAGTTGATATATTGAGCCTCGGGCTTTAATTCTTCCATTATTTTATCTAATGATTCATTTCTACTCATATATATTTATTAAAATTATTATTTCCTAAAATCATTCTTATTATGAAAAATTTAATTATTCGCGGAAAGAGTATAATTTTTTTTATAATTTGTATTGTATATTATATAAATCACAAGCTCTTCGATAATGAATTATATTCGATATATATAAGAACATATATCTATTCATGCTTTCTGAATGCTTATTTTCTTTATTTCTTTTGCATTTTTTTTCTTTCTTCTCTATTTTTGTTATTTTTTTTATTTTTTGTGCTCTTCGCATTTTTTTGATGAAAATGATTATATTTTTAGAATTATTTAAAATAATATATTTAACAGTTACACCATGGAATTATCACATTGTTTTCTACTTAAATTAATGCGATTGATCAATAATTATTGAATATGTAGAAGAAACTGTACAAGTCATATGTAAAATAGTTCTACGGTTATCTACCTGTTGCCGCAAGCGTGGCAACCAACAGACATCCTGCAGTATAAAACAGTATAAAACAAGAAACAAAGATAAAAATCGATAAAAAATAAACAATATCAAATGAAATCAATATAATAAATAAATCGTTATAAATATTTTCGAATATGAGCATAATGAAAATTAAGCTTTTGAAAATATATTAAAAATTTCGGTTTCATTAAGTTCTGCAAAAGTTTATTATTTTTGTATTTTTTCAAAAAATATTTACATTGTAATGTTTAATTTTGTTTTTTTTATGTTTTAAATTATTCTTATATTTTAGATATAAAAATGAAATTAATTGTGCAATGAAATTTTAACGAAGAGCTTGCTATAATCCATATATGATATTTTTCTAATGTTTTTGCAATATATATTATGCTGATAATAGTTGCAATGTTGATTTTTGCAGATTATTATAAAAATATGACATTTAGTTATGACAATTTTTATTTTATATATTTTTATTTTATATATATTTCGATATTATATAAAATTACGAAAACAATTAATTTAAAATTAATTTAAAATTAATTTAAGCACAGACTTATCACGAATATAATTTATTTTCTTCTATGATATAATAATATTAATTATATAATATCAATCTGAAAAAGATAATCGTCTATTTTTGATTAAATAATATGAGAATATCATGGCCTGAATCATTATCGTTCTAATATCAATAATAAGTTTCGATTCCTTTCTTGTTCTTTATAATGTCTCCATAATGCATAAATATTTATATAATTATTATCTCTTAATCTAAATTATCTATTAATTGTTAGTTATTTACATTTTACAATATCCAACCAATATTTCAGATTGCAAGAAATAATTTTTAAAGAAATTTTAAGAGCATTCTCGAATCTATCTATTAAAGGCCATTTTTCGAATGAGTAATAAAATAAACTGGGAGAATTCTACATACAATTCTAATCTGAAAATAAATTGAACTTAATGTAAGTATAATATATTACACAAACGCATATAGATATTTAATTCGTGTGTAACGATCAATTATACATCTTTGCTTATGAATAACGTATTTGAAGGTGAAAAAGAACTTAACCTTTGTTGAAATATATTTCGCATCTGTTATCAAAGAATAATTTGATGATAATCAATTTAATTTAATTGTTACATTCGGAATAGATGACAATATTGATTCACATATCCACAGAGAATGCAAACATAGAATTTTAAATCTTTGAAAAATATACATCTATTTTATATTTGAAAGATTAATAGATCATTCGTGTAATATTTAATATGTTCGATTTATTAATAATATCGATTATTCTTCGATTAATCAAAAAATATTAAATATTGTATAAGTACTATATACATATGTTATCAAGCATGATATGTTAAAACTTATTGTTAGTTATTCAAAGAAATATATTCAAAGAAATATAATATATTCAAAGAAATTATAATTAAAACAAAAAAAATCTTTCTTTTTTTTAATAAAATACCATGAAACATTCTTCGGTTGCACATTGTACAGGTTATTTTTTTAAATCGACGAAAAAAAACATAAAATAATTTGTAATACTAGATCAACAAAAGACACAAAGGTTCAAATTAATCGGGTTCGGACATACGACTGTCATGAAATTCTGGAATCTATAATTATAGTTGCTAATTGGACTATTCCAGATCCTGTTTCCCATCTATCTATATAAACTTGTTCAATTCGAAATACTTTGTTATCTGATTACACTTGTTTCTCGGTAAAACTCTTCGAATTTTATTTCTTGTAAAAAAATTCAAACATAGAGAATTAGAAAAAGTAATCATTAATAAATCCTGTTGCCATTATGGGCGTAAACTTCTTTAATTATACGAAGCATATCAATTAATTTTATTTTAATTTCTATCTAGTTTCTTTTTCACCGAATCTAGTTCTTTTTTTTATTTTCTTTTTTACTTCATAATAATACAGATTTTCAAAAAAGAATTTCAGATACAGATTCAAATTTGATTCAAAATTAAAGATTAAACCTTTATATATATATAAGTAAAGTATAAAATAGATGATTACATGTCGAGTTGCGTTTGACTATATCATAAAATTTCTCTGATCATATTGCATGGCGACAGTCTGCTATTTATTTAATCGCCCATATTTTATCGATGGTAATATTATTTATTGAATTTCTATCACGCCAATATAGGTAATTAAATCGCGCGTTTCATTAGCGATAGAATTAATGGATGAGGATTGAAATCATCCCAGAAGGGGAAAGGGGAAGAGAGAAAGGATAATCCAGAAAGCAAATTACAGAAATATTTGCAACAATTCTAACTGTTGAATCTAATTGTTGAATCTGTTAATGTACTTTTTCATGACAACATTATTTTGCAAAGATATAATGTAATTAAAATCAGCAAATTCATTAAAAGAATTTTTTATGAGCGCAAATAACAGATTATGATTAATCTATAAAAATTCTTTTATTTTATAAAACATACATAGCTTTACGATGAATAAATATAAAAATGAAATATTAGATTTCCGACAACGACAATGTTGAATATAGTTTACTAGTTGTGCATTCACTATCGATATATTTCATTGATCGTTTTAGACAGTTTTGAATGGAAATTGTACATAGTGTGTATGATCGATTGTACGTCATTTTCTTTTCTATTAACTTTTTAGACGACTGTCTACTTGAGTTTCCATGCAATTACATTATCGTATGTATATATGTTTATCTTTTTATCTGCATATTTATTATTTATTTCTTGTATTGATTGTAAATAAATAATATAAATTTTATAAAATAAATAAACTTTATTAAAAAATTCTATCTTCATGTTATATTTATTATTTTTATTATTTTGTTTTCTTTCGTTTTTATTTCCTTTTTCTTTTGTAACCAATATCTATATTTTCCAAATTGCATCAATTTAAAATTCGCACTTCGTAAGATAATCGCAAAATGGATCAGATGAAAATCGAAAAAAACTAAATAAAAGGAAACTGATAATTTTGATCGTTTAACGACATCTATTATTAGTAATATTTATTATAAAGAAATCTAATGAAAACAAATTTGATTGCTTAGCGACATCTATGATCTATTGTTGAATCAGCAAAAAGATGGCGCAACTTGTAAATCAAAACAAAATGTTAACCTATCAATTGAGACAGTTTTGTGTCAACTTTTGAGGTTACTTGTCAGATTATAACAATGTTTATCGTTACGAAAGAAATTGACAGCGAAAACATCGGTAAATTATGCCGTACATGTTTAAGAGAGGATGGTGACAAAATGGTTTGTTTATTCGTGGGACCGGCTGAATCATCCCTTGCTGCGAAATTACGATCTCTTTCATGTCTCGAAGTAACAAATATTTTTGTCGAATTCATAATTTTTTTCATAAGAATTTTTTTTTATCATTAAAATTTATATTTTATCAGGTTTGGCAGGGAGATGGTCTTCCAGAAAAAATGTGTAATCGTTGTGTAACAAGAGCAGAATCTGCTTTATTATATAGAGAACAATGTCGAGCAGCAGATAGAGCATTAAGACAAGCCCTTTTAAAGGTAATAATATATGTATATGTATCATTGAGTTTTAAAAAGAAATTTTTATTTTTGAAATACAAATATATTATGAATATTTGTAGGTTTCTGGTTTGACTTCATATGCAACAGTATCTAGTTATAAATTATATCAACATAATCAAAATTTTACATCTATTCAAAATTCTCATAAGACTTTGAAATGTATAGACTGTGGAGCAATATATACAAATTATCAAGAATTCTGTGCTCATAGTAGATCACATTTGCCCTTTGTTCAAGACGATATACCTATGCAACATATGCATATAGTAGAATCGCAAAATTCATATTTAAATTTTAACTTTGGTCATCTGAGTACCAATTGTTTAACTAATGAAAATCTTCAGCATACACAATCATCTCCATTGATTAGGTCAAATATGATGCAAATGATTCCAATAAATGGAGAAAACCCTAGTCGTGCAGCGTGTGCTCTACACTGTTCCTTATGTAATCGCACATTTACCAATAGAACTCAATTAATGAGTCACAGTATCACTCACAACTCGGAGAACATAGAAGTACCCTGTGATAATGAAAATATAGATATCTGTGAAAATTCTAATCAAATTCCACAAAATTTAAGTTACGAAAGATCGATTAATTCTGTTGGAAATTCTATTCAGAATTTATCTTATCATAGATCTGCAACGAATGATAACAACGAAATGCAAAATTTGGGTTTTCCCGAAAATATAGATTTAGGAGACGAGGTTCGAGAGGGTAGCCCGCAACGGATACGAAATGCCGCAATATCTGATTCGGAAAGTTATAACATAACTGATTATCGTACGATAAAATTTGCGAAAAGTCTCGAGCGCATCGACAACAGGGAGAATATCAATAGATATCAATCATGTTCTTCGAATTTGAATTATAATAAACAACAAATCGAAAACGAGCAACATTCAGAAAATTTACAACATATACAGATAAAAAAATACAAATGCGAAATATGCTCTAAATATTTTTCACAAAAATCGAAATTGTTAACGCATCAATTATCGCATTCTGGTCAGCAACCTTTCAAATGTTCTAATTGCGAGAAAGGATATTCGTCAAAGAGCAAATTAAACGCGCATATGCGATTACACACGAAAATTAATGTACATCCATGTAAAATATGTGATAAAATATTTTCTTATCCATCTTATTTACAGGAACACTTAAAAACACATAAACAGAGTAGCAATAGCGATATGAGAATCGAAGAAAACAAAACTTTTGAATGTGTCAGTTGCAAGAAGAGATTCCGTCTATTGAAAAATCTTAAAGCTCACGAGCGGCTTCATACTGGCAAAGATTTGATGCGATGTGAAATATGTGATAAAACATTTAGTCGTAATTACAATTTAAAGATTCATTTACGAACGCACAAAACGACGAGACCTCATAAGTGTGAATATTGCAATAAATGTTTCGTTCAGAAAGGTAACCTCGCGGAACACATAAGAATTCACACAAAGATAAAACCTTTTGAATGCAAAATATGTGGGAAGCATTTCTCACAGTCGAGTCACTTGAAAAATCACGAGGCTTCCCATACAACTGTTAGGCAACATCAATGTCGATTGTGTGGAAAACGATTTAAATTAGCTAATCATTTGAAGAGACATTTGATTTTACACAATGGTGCAAAATCATACAAATGTCATCAATGTAATCAATTGTTTTCACAAGCATTTAGTCTTACGAGACATTTGAAAAGACACGATTCTCACGGGTAATTACATGTAAATATGACTTATATGTATGTATATCATTTTACAAATATATAATTCTACATAAATATACTTTTATAACCTTTTAATCGTTAATTTTCTTCATAGATTTTCGAATAAGAATTTTTAAAGTTTTAAGAAGTTTGATATTTTAACAAAAATAAAGGTAAGTTCATTTATAATTTCTAAGGACGGTAGTCATTATATCGAGACCTTCTTCAAGTTGTTCTTTTGTGATTACGAGCGGAGGTGATATCCTTAATATTTGTCCATGAGCGGGTCTCGTTAATAAACCTGCTTCTTTCAATTTCAAACAAATATCCCAGCCTTTAGCAAAATCTGTAAAATATATTCGAAAAAGAAAATAGTGAAATAGATATATGATATATGTTATTTTAAATATATAGATTTATAAATATATAGATTATTAAATACCTTTGTTAATTACCAAGCCACCCAACAAACCACGACCTCGAAATTCTGTCGCTATATCTTTCGGAAGTTTTTCTAATGTTTTACGAACAATTTCACCAAGTTTTTTCGCATTTTCTGCAAGATTTTCTTCTTCCAAAATTTTAACTGCCTCTACGGCCACTCTATTACCAAGTGGACTTCCACCGAATGTACTACCGTGAGTGCCAGTTTCCAAGCATAACATTATCTAAAATAATCGAAATAAATAAAATTAAAAATTTTTATTTTCAGTTAGATTAATATATTTATAATAATTATATCGATACATGATTATTCTTACATGATCATCCGCTAAAATACCAGAAACAGGATACATTCCTCCAGACAATGCTTTTCCCAATATGAGAATATCTGGTCGTTCATTTTCATGATCTACTGCTAATCGTTTACCCGTTCTACACAAACCAGTTTGAATTTCGTCTGCGATCCATAATATATTGTATTTAGTGCACAATTTTCGTACACCTTTCAAATAACCATCCTAATAAATAATAATAATATTTTGAAAAACTTTTATTATTTTATATATATGTATACATATATACAAGTTTCATAAAATATGAAAATAACTTACATCAGGTATTACGACGCCCGCTTCTCCTTGAATTGGTTCCATCATAAACGCACAAACTGTTTGATCCTGCTGGAATTTTTTCTCTAAAGCGTCGAGGTCATTGTACGGCACTTTATCAAAACGAGGAACGTAAGGTCCAAAATCGGTGTAACAATTTGGATCTGTGGATGCGGACAACGCAGCTATTGAACGACCCCAAAAATTGCCTTTCGCAAAGACAACGGTTGCCTGATCCGTAGGTATCTTTTTAACTCTGTAAGCCCAACGTCTAGCCACTTTGATAGCGGTATCACCTGCTTCAACTCCTGTAAAAATATAAATCCGTATATTTTCATCTTTTTTATCTTTTTTTTTGTTATTAATGTTTTCTTTTTTATTTCATACCGGTATTCATCGGCAAAAATCTATCCCATCCTAAAAGTTTGGTCAAATATTCTCCTAATGCACCATGAGGTTCCGAATAAAAAGCTCTGGATGTATGAGTAAGCTTTTCCACTTGTTCTTTCATTATTTTTACCAAGCGTGGATGACAGTGACCTTGACTAACAGTTGAAAAACCTGCCAGAAAATCGAGATACCGTTTTCCTTCGACATCCCACAAATGGACACCTTCACCTTTAGTGAGAACTACTGGAAGTGGTTTGAAATGTACACCGCCATATTTATTGTCACGTTCGATCAACTCTTGCGTATTCAAAGATCTTTTAAAGTTCACTTCTTTGGTTAAACCGAAGATTCGTAATCTCATAGTCGAGTTCATTTTGACAATATTCGAATGATTCGTAAAGACTCGTTAAGATAGAGATTCTATTCTCACTGCATTCAATTTCGAAGTCCATCTTGCATTTATATCAAGGTTTGAAGAGAAAAAGTAGGGGAATTGTATACTTGTTATCTATACAAGATATAATTTGATATTGTCTCTTGGATTTAAAATAAGTGCCAAGTGATATAGCTGAAGAATCTCGTATCTGATAATAAAATAGCGGGGGACATTGTTTATTACAGCACCAACATATTAAACCAAACGAAAAATTGCAAACAATTATATCATAATAATCTGATCTGAAACAATACGAATATCATTTATCTTTTTTATTTGTTTTATTATTTTTTTCACAAGAATATAAAACGATGAAAACAAAACTTATAATCGTAATTTATGCTATTATAATAGAATAAAGTTAATTATGAAGTTTAAACGAATTCAAGATTATTTAATAATAAAATAATTTTCTACTACTAGTAAAAATATCATTGATCTTTTTTAAAATTTAAAAAGAAAATTAAAGTAATATTATCAATATCGAAAGAAATTATCAAATATAAAATATTTTTTTTTTCGTTTCTATTTTTATTTATCGATTCTTTGTTCTTTTTAAGTGAATAGTTTTTTTTCAATATTTGATAATAAAAAATCATTATATATGATGCATATTAAACGAAATGATTCTCATTATTTAAATTTTTAACTTTTTGTCTATTTATAATGTGATTACAAGTTTAAGACATCTGACAAACGTCTGAATAAACAATTACAGAATACAGGATAAAATCGTATCATACGAAGCTATTAATAACACGTATGTAATTTATAATCAAGCAATTTTTCAGTCTTCAATATGCATATGGTAGATAATAACTTCAACAGCTTTTAACGATATTTTTCTCTTTAAACCTGTTTCTAATTCAATTTGATTTCAATTTCGTCTCGTGTTGTCTGAATTTGATCAATTTTCACAAAGATCCACGTATTTGTATGATGAAACAGGTTTGAAGGAAAAAAAGAAAAAGATAAAATGTAACTTAATAATGTTCATCAACAAGATTTATTAAAATTTAAAACATATATATAATTATTTACTAAATATATACATAAATTTAAAACGTATACTTATATGTATATGCGTATCATTTAGAGAATTGATTAATAACTCGGGAAATAATATCCATAGATTCTCGTATTTGCGATTCAGTTATAACCAGCGGAGGCATTAATCTGATTACGTGATTCTGTGTCGGTTTCGCGATTAAACCTTCATCTTTTAATTTTAAACATACGTTTACAATATCAATTTTATCATTGATAACTATACCGTTAAGTAGACCTTTTCCACGAACTTCATTAACCACGTTTGTTGGAAGTTTCTTAAGTTCAGATCTGACAATATTTCCAAGTTTATCAGCATTTTCTGCTAATTTCTCATCTAAAATCACACGAAGCGCTTCAATAGCGATTTTGCTCGCTAAAGGATTGCCACTAAAAGTCGAACCGTGTTCTCCAGACTTTATAGTCAACATCACAGAATCATTGGCCAATATACCCGATATTGGATAGAAACCACCTGACAGAGATTTACCCAAAATCAAAATGTCCGGTTTCACATTTTCATAATCCACAGCTAACATTTTCCCTGTTCTGCCTAAACCAGTTTGCACTTCGTCAGCTATCCACAACACGTTATATCTTGTACATAATTCTCTAATTCCTCTTAAATATCCATCCTTATGAAATAAATACGCAAAATTTTATTATAATGATTACAAGTACATACAATCATGATATTTGTATACCTTTGGTATGATAACACCAGCTTCTCCTTGAATAGGTTCTACCATAAAAGCGCAAACATTAGGATCTGTTAAAGTTTTTTGAAGACTCGAGAGATTGTTAAATGGAACGATTTCGAAAGGCATAAAAGGACCGAATCCACGGAAAGAAGTCGGATTCGAGCCAGAAGATATCGAGTTCATTGTTCTTCCCCAAAAATTACCTTCTGGGAAAACAATTTTCGCCTTATAATGTGGTATACCTTTGCGATCATAACCCCATCTTCGTGCCAACTTACAAGCTGTTTCACCACCCTCCAATCCCGTGTTCATAGGAAGCCATTTATCATATCTAAAAATTTGATACTTGATTTAATTATATATTTTCGAATTTCAAGAATAGATTACTCCTAAATCTACTCGAATCTTGAAAGATATCGCGTGTAAACATGCGAGAATAATTGGAATAACTGGTAATATTAACTGGAATATTAACAGAGATTTTCATTTACCCAAAAATTTTTGTAATGTATTCTTCTAATTCTCCCAATGTGTTTGAATAAAGTGCTCTTGAACATAATGTTAAGAGTTTCGCTTGATTTGTCAAAGCTTTGTAAATTCTTAGATGACAGTGACCTTGATTAACTGCAGAGAAACCGCTTAAAAAATCATAATAACGCTTCCCCTCAACGTCCCACACAAAAGGTCCTTCCCCTCTGCATAAAGCGATAGGAATTGGATCATAATTATGAGCGCCATATTTTAATTCGCGTTCGAAAACTTGTTTCGATGTTAAAGTTCGATGACCCTATGATCAGAATTCAAGTATAGATAATGTACTCGATAGAAAATTATTTTGCTTTTTTTTCGTAATTACGCAATCGTTATCATAATTTACGGTTTATTTATCAGATTCAATAATTTTTATTACCTGATATAGTAAATTGAAAAGATATTTCTTCTTTTTAGATATCGTATTAATTTTTCTATATATCATTTTTCCGTACATGCGCTTCCCTTTTCAGAGATAAAAAAATTTATTTGGCTATAATAAATGATTAAAATTAAATCGTTATTTCCAAAATTCAATTTAATATTAGGTCATTATTGCAAATTAATATGGGGCAACATTGAACTCGTGTGCTCGCAATATATCAATGTATTATCCGACAATAGATACGGATTCATGTATATTATGATTCCTATCTACTTGAGAAATTGGTTCCAAATCTATATATTTTTTTTTTCCTTTGAATACATAAGAATTTAGAAAAAATAACATTATCAAAAAGAATATTAATATTTACTAGAAAAATTATCACGATTGTATTGTGTTATCGATGTAAGAAAACAGACTATCATCAATACGATGCTTCACATTTGTTTGAATTATATAGATAGACCTTATCTTTGTGAAAACCGGTGATCGATTGTATTAATGAAATCTATGTTACCAATAATCGATATACCGATAATCGATTATTCGAAACTATTTTTCTTTCTTTTCTCTAGAATCTATCTTTATCTGAATCAATTTTTTTTCTATTCTTTTCACTCTTCTAAAAATTATTTCATATTAGATTTTTTCAACAGGTGTCAAATAAAAAGTACGATATGATATGATGTATACATAGATACATCATACATGATTAATAATCTTACTCTTTACTCTTATTCTATTCATTCATATATATATATATGTATGTTACGTCACATACACTTTTCATATTGAAGATAAAAAAAACGATTGTTATATCAGCTTATCAACAGTGAAAGTTACTCGTTTATTTGAGTCCAAAATTCCAGGTTATTTGTATTTGAAAATAAATATGATAAGTAGATAGATGTTATATCAAGTACATTCAGTAACCTCGATTTATTCCAATACAAAACAGTTTTAAAATTTTTTAATTATACTATGGTATATTATAAAATATTAAAAAAAAAAATTCATTGCTAATAATTATTTATATCAAATAAATTATAATTCATAATAGATTTTACGATGTGAATATAATTTCTATCTATGATTATTCTTCTCTTATATATTTCAAAACGATAAATATTCACATTCTGTATAATAAACACAAAGTAATATGTATATTGATAAGATATTAAAAATTAACAAGATATTATAACTTGAACTTCATATGAAAAAATTTTTTATATGAAAGAAGAGCATAAATAATATGGCTTCGCATGTTTCTTGGTTTTCATATGGTAAATTTTATTTAACTTCAATATTTTTCAAACTAAAAATTTTTCAATATAAATAAATAGTACTTTTTTAAAATATAAACTATACTGATAAGTACAATAAAAATTATATAATTCTATTTAAAATATTAAAATTGACTTTCATATAATTTCTATATATTCATAGAAATATTATTAATGTTATATAATAATATATCAAATAATTTTTTGAAACATTTTTTAATTATTAATTAATTATTGTATCATTTAGATTTGTCGAAATATTGAATGAATCATAATAAATCGTATACTGAACATATTTACGTTCTTTCCTATATTTCAGTTTCAATTACATAATAATAAATAAAAAACACGTTTATATATAAATTTTATAATTTAATATTAAATATAAAAATATAAAAATATAAAAAATATAAAAATATTATCAAAGTATTATAAAAATATTATATTTTAATTATTACAATCTCTAATCTCTTTATATAAAAAAAATTATCTTAAAATTTATAAATATTTATAAATTTATAATTTTCGTCTTAAAATAATTCAGTGATTCTCTAATAAATATGAACTAATAAATAATTGAAAATATATCTATGATTTTTCTCAAAATTATATTTATATTATAATAATTATATTTATATTATAATAATCTATATAAATTACCAACTAATTTTTCCCGCCAAATTTGTTAACACGCCATAAAAGTTCGAGACATCGGTGATACGATTCAAACAAATTTTATTCGTTTCTAATATTTTAAATGTACATATTTACTCCGTGTGAAAAATTGATTTATCAATTAAATTTTTAACATGAGTGAAAATGATTATGATGAATTACGCAAAAGAAATATAGCCGAAAGAAATGCCGTCGTAAGTACTTTTGTATATAATTTAAATTTCTAACCTATAACTAATCAACTATATAATCAACTATATCATATATAACTAATCATGCTAATATTTAACAAAATAGTTTGCAGAGTTCTTTAAAGATCTTAAAAAACAAAAAGACGAAGTAAAAGAATTGGATAAAAAATATAAAGATGTAGAAAATTCAGAGAATGAACCACCTAAAAAAAGACGTAAAACTATTTCTAATTCTATTGATAATACTGTTAGAATTAAGAATGTAAAACTTGAATTTCGTAAGAGATATAACACCAGAAGTAGAACAAGGAATCAAATTAAACACAATATTTCAGAATATGAGGAAGATTTAATTAAATCCAGAAACAATAAACCTAAATTGCAAGTTTTATTTCCATGGGCAAAACCTTTTCAACGATCAATTGATTTAATGAAGATAGGAGTTTGTGATGTAGACGAAGAGGAAGAACAATATAATAGTGATGATTCGTATGACATAACTAAAAAACGAGTTTATAATGTAAATAAAAGTCCATACGATCCTGATAACATACCATCCGTTGATGAAATTACGGATGAAATGTTAAATAATATTGCGGAAAAAAGTTCTTCAAAACAATATTGTAAAATAAATGGAACTTGTTGTCATCAATGTAGACAGAAAACATTGGATACAAAAACAGTATGTCGTTCAGGAGAATGTGTTGGACTAAGAGGTCAATTTTGCGGACCTTGTTTAAAAGGACGATATGGTGAAAATGCCATTGACGCATTGAAGGATCCTGTATGTTTTATATTTTTATATGCATATATTTATTTCTATAATTATTACTTTTCAATAATTATTTTATTGCAAAAAATTTACAGAATTGGGCTTGTCCACCTTGTCGCGGTTTATGTAATTGCAGTATATGTAGAACAAGAAATGGTTTACCTCCTACTGGAATTTTAGCTCCTCTGGCACAAGAAGAAGGATATTCGTCTGTTATGGATTATCTTCAATCTGCTGAAATCAATGACACTTAACTTCATTACTAAGAAATTTACATCTAGAAGATAATAAAATTCACTCTTAATAAATATTTTTTATTAGGAAATATATAACATTTAAATTACTCATATTGTATATGAAAATTTTTTATAAGTATATTAAAATTATTCTTCCTATATTGACATTGTTTGTTCCTTCATTCTTAAATCTTCTTTTTCATTATTATTTTACTGCAATGATACCATAACGTCTTGGAGATAACATAGGATCAAATAAACGTAATATCGCAAATTTAGAACATTGATTGCTCTTTTGTAAAAATATCATTCTATCCAACATGATAGCTGCCTCTAATACAAGACCAATGTGTATTCTCAACATTTGGAATATGTTAAACTTTTTCATTAAATGTGCATAAAATTGAAATGTATCCGTTAATTTTTCTCGTGATGGTATCTAAAGATATAAGAATTCTATTTAAAAAAAATATTCATCTACTATATAAAAATTTTATTACCTTCTCTAAATCTATTTCAATTTTTGAGAATGCCCACAAAGCATAAGTTGGAAAATCATGTAAAGGTCCTCCACGGCCTACTTTAGCATTATAAATACCTATTAAAAAAAGAAAAGTGAAGTGTACTATATAAAAAAAGAATAATAATGTATAATGTATAATATATGTATAAATTAATATAAAAATAAATATACCTAAGGAATGAAAAATCACTTGTAAAATTGCTCTGTAGAATAATGATGAAGGTACAAATTCATTCTTTATAGTTCTTTCAACAGATTGTTGAGCTAACATCCTAGCATTTTTAGAAAAACTAATCTTTTTATTAAATGTTTCATTTGTCAAATGATAACAACAAGGCACTATACACAAAATATTAATATCTTTTGTATTTAAAAATGTTCTAATAATTGAATCAGTAAGAGAACCACAAGTATGTAAACCAGTTAATATAAGATTTTTATTTATATTCCAATCACAAAAATTTTGTTTTATCATTTTTATATAATCAGTATTATCATTTATTTCTTCAACTACATAACGTATCTAAAACAAAATATAATTTATCTATAATTTATATGTAAAATATTGCTTTTTCACGAAAATTGAATGTATATTTAAATATTATTAATACCAGCATTGGAGAAAGCATCAACTTCTTTTGTAATTTTTTTTGCCTACAGATTGCTCCATTGCTACATAATTGTGAAGAATCTATTGCAAGTACAGGTACTTTATGATTTTCTGCTAAAAATGTTGATAAATATGCTTTGCCAGCACCAGCATCTATTACTAAATTATTTGTTTTTGCTGCAATTTCCCCAATAATGTTTCCAAGGGATACAACTTCATGTAATTTCTTTGCATTTATAAATTCTATCTTAATATTTTTATATATACATTTATTTGAATTATTAATATAAGGTAAAGTGTTTGCAAAATCTTCTGAATTTATTTCTATAGAACATGACTGCAAAGATAAAGATTTTGCTAACTTTATAAAATTATTTAGCATAGGAAAATTGTCATTTTCTGCCCAAGTAATCCAATTCAATTCACTCTTTTCTAATTCTAATCTTAATGTTTCTGGTAAACATGTCATCCATAAATTTTCAGTAATAAAATCAACTATATGACAATTTATTAATTTTTGATAAGTATTAATAAAATATAAAATTTTATCAAAATGTTTATCATACATAACTATATGTATACATGTATACATGTAATATTACATTTAATTTAATGCAATATTGTATAAATTTTCTTAGAAATGATATATTTTATTTTATTATTTATAAAAATAATAAAAAAATCAAAATATTAAAGAATATTATTTGATTTTATATTTATTCAATCATAATTCTGCATAATTAAAAATCAAGTTTATCTGTTTCTGGATATGGCGCATATATTTTTGTTAATGCACAAAACTTGGCATATTTAAATTTAATATTATCTATAGTTTTTGATATATCTATTGTCTCATCATTGTATTTAGGAAAATTATAAATATCTTGTAAAAGTTCTTTTGCAATCCAAACACCTTTCTCTAAATTACATTTATTTGCACTTAAATATTGTTCCAAAATACCGCTATAATATCCTAATTGCGCACCCAACAAACTAGCTTTGTGATATCCAAAATGAAATCCATTTACCAACTGCTTTTTGCCAACCTCAAAACCTTCTTTGTAACCTATGTATTGGGCATTTTCTTCGGCAAATAATAAATCTTCGAACTTTTTATTAATATCAATATCTTCTTTATCAGACATAATTATTCAATATAATAACAATCTTATTCGATTTATAACCTATAATATAATTAGTACTGTGAAGAAATAGTAAGGAAGTTAGATTATCAAATAATTTCGAGTCATCGTATTTAAAATCATGTTTGCCAATTGAGAAACCACTATCTGCTTCATTCGTGGTTAGCAGTAAATATTATCAGTTAAGGTTATATATGAAAAATAAAAATATGTTTTTGTTTTTTTATTAGAAAATACTTATTTATAAGTTATAAAAGATTTTTAAATTCTTTAGAAGAAAAAAATTTACGATTAAATCAAAATATTTTTATATTAGAATAATATGGCTCGAAGCAACTTCAGAGGTGTGTCATGTTTGCAAGAAACGCGGTGTTCTTTCTTGTATCATATCCAATAATTTTTAAAGCTAATTTTGTAAAGGATGCTCGCGTTAGGACCTAAAAAGGACGGTGGACCCAATACAAAATTTTTTGAGTCCCAGGAAATTCTTACACAACTTGATGCGGTTAAACAGTGGCTTTTGAAAAACTGCAAAAAGGTATATCTAAATGCCCGGCGTCCAATAATACAATTAATTTATTAGTTTGTATAATATGTTAGCATTTCTTAATATGAATTAGTTTTTATCTATTTCTTAAAAAATTTTATAATTTCATTTATTTTTAACTTACTGCAAAGAATAATTTATTTTATCTTTTTTTTTATATATATAAAACTACATAAATAATATATATACTCTTATATGATACTCATATAATTAATTCAATTTTATTCAATATAATGTATGTATAAAAAATGTATAATATGTTATATTTTAATAATTTAAAATATTTTCTTCATATAATATTTTTTATTTTTTATAATATTTAGTATGTCCAAACGGATCCTCCAACTAATAAAAGTTTAGCTACATTGATAGTGCAATTATTGCAATTTCAAGAAGATAATTTAGGAAAAAATGTTTCAAAACCACCAATGACAAGACTTCCTGTATGTATTTATTGATTTATGCAATTAAATATTATTTTAAAAAATAATTAAATTATTTATAAACTTTCTAGATGAAATGTTTCTTAGATTTTAAACCAGGAGGTGGTTTATGTCATATTCTTGCTACTGCATATCGTTTTAAACAAGAACAAGGATGGCGTCGATTTGACTTCCCTGTTGGAAAAGTAAGTATGATATTATAAATATAATTTAACAATAATACACAAAAATATTTTTTTTAGTCAGGATCTCGTATGGATAGAACAGTAGAAATGTTAATGGCTGCTGAAAGAGCTTTGGTACAGAATCGATGTATGATTATACCAAGTGTATATGTGAGACCTGATGTAGATAAATCAACAGCTGCAAAAGTGAAAGAAGCAGTTCGTCGACATCAAGGTAGTATTTCTGAAAATGAGACAGATGCTACACACATAATTTATCCTCCAGTTGATCCTATGGAAGAAGAATACGCACGACCTTGTATGAGACGAGAAAGATCTGTTCTTCTTCATTGGTACTATTTTCCCGATAGTTACGATTCTTGGACTACATTAGATCTTCCTTGGGACTTTCCAGAAGGTACACTTACAAATACAAACATGAAATCAGTATACAAAGTAGCCGCAACATGGGCATTAGATTTAGATCAATATAACGAGTGGATGAACGAAGAAGACTATGAAATAGATGAAAATGGTCAAAAGAAAATACATAAATACCGACTTTCGGTAGAAGATTTAATGGCTCAACCGTCTCATCCTCCCCCTTCAGCGAAAAAACCAAAAAGAAAACGATCTCCTAGTCCATCACCGAAACCAGGAAAACGTAAAAGCGCAAGAGCACCATCAGGTGTTCAAACTTCATCTTCATCATCACTTGCGACTCCGAAGAAATCTCGCGGTGGTGGAGAAGAAGAAGACGATCTCACTCAAGGAATGGAAGATCCACCAGCAGAACCTCGAATTGTAGAAGTAGTTGCTACTCCTACGAATCCGCCGGTGACTGGTCAAGGTAATATTCCAACAAGTGGCAATACTTTAACGACAACAGGTAGTAAGAAACAAGATAATGAACTTCAACCACTTAAATCTGGTAATATGGCGGATTTGGATGAACCTATGGAAGGAGATAAAGGAAGTTCTCAAAGTACTCAAGATAGAGAAGAACGAGATGCAAGTAAAGAAAGAGGAGAAGGGAGTAAAGGAGATGAACCAGAAGATAATGTCACTGAACAAACACATCATATTGTTGTTCCTAGTTATTCTGCTTGGTTTGATTATAATTCGATTCATACTATTGAAAAAAGAGCTTTATCTGAATTTTTTAATGGTAAAAATAAATCTAAAACGCCAGAAATTTATCTTGCATACAGAAATTTTATGATCGATACCTATAGATTAAATCCTACAGAATATATTACATCGACTGCTTGTAGGCGTAATTTAGCAGGAGATGTATGCGCAATCATGCGTGTACATGCATTTTTGGAACAGTGGGGACTTATTAATTACCAAGTGGATGCAGAATCAAGACCAACACCCATGGGTCCACCTCCAACATCACATTTCCATGTATTATCAGATACTCCATCAGGTTTAGCTCCAGTTAATCCGAATCCTCCGAAAACACCACAACCTTCAGCCGCAAAAACATTACTTGATTTAGAAAAGAAATCATCCGGTTTGGGAACAGAAGAGAAAACTTCAGCTGGAGTGATGGCAAATTTTGGGCTAAAAATTGATCAGTATTCGAGAAAACCGGCAGTTTTGAAGAACAAACAAGCTGCCGGTGCTACTCGTGATTGGACAGAACAAGAAACACTTTTGCTATTAGAAGGATTAGAATTACACAAAGATGATTGGAATAAAGTCTGTGAACATGTTGGTTCGAGAACACAGGATGAATGTATCTTGCATTTTCTACGACTTCCTATAGAAGATCCTTATTTAGAAGAAAGTGGACCAGAGGGTTTGGGTCCATTAGCTTATCAACCAGTACCATTTTCTAAAGCTGGCAATCCAGTTATGAGTACTGTGGCATTTTTGGCTTCAGTCGTTGATCCTAGAGTTGCTGCAAGTGCAGCCAAAGCTGCTATGGAAGAATTTGCAGCTATTAAAGATCAAGTACCAGCTGCTTTATTAGATCAACATTTAAGAAATGTTCAAGCTAGTGCTAATTCTGATGGTAATTAATCTTCTTCGTAATTTTCTTATAAATTTTTTATAATTTTCTATTAATAATTGAAATAAAATGAAGTTTTGTTATATTAATTATTTTCGAATTATTTAGGTAAGTTTGATCCAGCTGCAGGATTAGCACAATCAGGTATAGCTGGGACTGGACCACCCGAACCTCCTGATGATACAGCACCACCTTCAACTACAGGCGCTACAGTTACATCTCCACATTCGGCAACAACAGCTTCTATGGAAATGAAAAAGGAAGAACAAGAAAAGCCTAAAGAACCTGAAATAGATCAAAGTCAATTGGACATAACAAAAAAGGAAGACGAATTGAAAGAAACCGAAGAAGATGCAAAATCAAGCATGGATGCTGAAACTATGGAAGCAAAAGAAAAGAGAGATAAGGTGAATAATTATTTTATTTTCATATTTGTTAAATATTTCTATAATATAAAATATATTTTCATTTATTTCATTCATTTATTTTTTTTTTTCATTATCATATAGGTGGTGCGAGATGCTCAGCTTCAATCTGCAGCTGCAGCAGCATTAGCAGCAGCTGCCGTTAAAGCAAAACATTTGGCAGCTGTAGAAGAACGTAAAATTAAAGCTTTGGTGGCGCTGCTTGTTGAAACACAAATGAAGAAATTAGAAATTAAATTACGTCATTTTGAAGAATTGGAAACGACGATGGAACGAGAACGTGAAGGTCTTGAATATCAACGACAACAACTTATTACTGAAAGACAACAGTTTCATTTGGAACAATTAAAAGCAGCCGAATTTAGAGCTAGACAACAAGCACATCAGCGTTTAGCTCAAGAGCAACAACAACAACAACAAAATCAACATCCTGCATGGCAACCTACTGCGCAACAACAACAACAACAACAACAACAACCACCGAGCCCTCAAGCATCAGCCCAACAACCACCATCACATACACCTCCACAACAAGCATAAATTGTGAGTTATATTATATTCATAAATTATAGTTATTAATTAAGATAATAATAACGAAATGTAGATATTGATAAAGCATATGATATGAAAATATACGTAGAAAAAAATATGAGTAAAATTTGTAATACTAAGTATTTTTACAATATTGAATAATGTTTGTTTTATTTATTTTTATTTAATATAATTAGATATTTTGGACGAAATTTTGCATTATATAATGCCAAATTTTTATCGAAATTTATATAATTTTTAATACGCGTAAATATTATTATATTAATTAATATCATTATATTAAACAGTACATTACATTAAAATTAATTTACTTTATAATAACATAACAAAGGTATTTTCTAAAATAGTATTTATAAAGATTTTTTATAATTCAATCTATAAAGCATGATTATGCACAAGCTCCAAAACTAAATCAGTCATAAGTCGAGCACATTCAGCTCCTTCTCGTGGTGGTGCTCGTGTATTTTCCTTTCCTTTATTGGTTTTTGATTTTTCATACAAATCTGGAGCTTCTTCACTTTCGCATGTACTAATTGGTAAAATATCCAATGCGAGACCTACGCCAAATCGGCCACATCGTCGCATTTCTTCATTTAATCTATACCATGAATAGTAAGATTAAAAGTGCTTTAAAAATATTCGTTTAACAAATTTTTCAATTACATTTTTTTTCTTCTTTCTACGAACATATTGCAATATTACTTACAGTTCCCACATCACAGATGGATCTTTTGGTGGCTGTTTTGGATTAAGTGTATGTAATGAAGACATTAGATGGAAATGATAATGTTGAAGAAGTTGTGTCATGTGCGCTCGTCTAATTTCTCCACTTGCACAACAGTACAACAAATTCGCAAGATCAAGGGCAAGTGAACCAACTCGAGTTAGTTGAAAATCAATTAAATAGACAACCTGTAAAGTCATAATGTTAATCATAATTAATTTAAGATTTGATCCAATTACATTGTAATATTTCCAATTTCTATTCCCTAAGTTAACATAATTGAAATTTGATATATCTTAATATTCATATTCGTATTACTTTTACTTCGCAAATGAAGTAAAAAATGATAAGATATATATTTTTACACTATACTTATGTCTATTTTTTTCTTTTTTATTTCAATAAATTTTAATCAATATGGGAATAGAATCTATAAAAATATCCTATTTCATGATAAGAAAACATAATTTATTTAATACTATCAAGTATGCATAATACTTGAAAACTGAATAAAACTAAATGACTTATTAAATATGAACAACTTTTATTTTGACAGAAATTTTATGAATTACAAGAATGTTTTTCTTTAATATTATTAAAATAATACTTGTACAAGACATATAATAAAAAATAGAAAAATCATAATATGCTGAATATCTTAAAATTAATAAATAATTAATAAATAATAAAATTATACTAAGAAACATTATTTCTTGGTTTTTTTTATATAATATAAAATTAAATAACATGCACGCTCAACAAATACTTTATATTTTAATATAATGATATACATAAAAAAAATATTTTTATTTTTTTTTTCTTTTTTTTTACTTTACTACTAAATGATAATAAATATTATTTATATATAATACTTACTTCCTCGTTTGATTTAGTCAAATCGTCTTTAAATAAAATATTATTAGTCCAACAATCACCATGACAAAAAACGGTAAGGGGCCCTTGCATAGCAACTAATTCGCTCATAGTGCGAAAAAATACATCATCATTAAGAAATGCTCGTAATTTTTCCATTATTTCGATTCTTTTGGATTCCATATGAGAAGGAAGACCATCAGACACCATTCTGATAGCATTCTTAGCAGCAACTTGATAGTATTGACGATACCAATTTTCATTTTCTGTTCGAAAAAGTGCTTCTTGGATACCTTTACCTTCACTTGGATCTGTGAGTCTTGCAAATTCCTCTGGCCTTATGTATCCATAGATATATATTAATATATAAACATATACATAGATATAATAATACAATATAAAAATAAAAAAAATAGAAAAAATAGGAAAAAAAAGAAAAAGAAATTATTATTAGATTTACCTTGTTTCTTTAAGAGTTAAACTCAGTGCATGAAAACCTGCTAAAGCTTTCAATGTTCGTTTCAAATGCTCAAGTTGCAGTCCTTTTCTTCTATCTGCCATTTTAAAACCTCTTTCTCGTAAATCTTCCATAGCGATAAAATCAATTTGTGCTGCATATATTTTTGCAACGCCGTTAAAAACTTTTCTATCATTTGTTTGTAACTTATTTAATGTAGGCCATACATGTGTATAAAATGCTACTTCGTTTTGAAATAGTAGTTCACTTTTAAAAGCTTCACGATGTTCTCTTGATTGCGGTAAAACTTTGTAAATTATTGCACATTCATAATTGATCCATTCATTATTTTTTATCTGTTTTCGACCTTTTGCTCGAATACGATATAACATGGATGTATAGTTATCACCTCTTCCTGAACCAAATTCTTCTTCCAAACTAGTAATTTCCACATTAGGTTCATCTTTCATTATCAATTTACGCACAGATTCTAATGTAAAATGTATATGTTCTTTCTCATCCATTATTCTGTTTTTAAAGACAAAATTTTAAAGACAATAAAAAAGTTTAAAAGAAAAATTTCATATAATTATAAGATTCTTGAATCAATAAATATCAGAACGTTTTAGCTTTTATATGTGAACGAATGAGTTACGATGTTAAGCTACCCGATGCAGGAAATAAGCATTTGAGGGACGAGAGAATAGTACCTCCCACTATCTCATACATACATTAATTTATTAATCGTAAGTACCCTAGGGGGGCAAGGACATTAATACATACCAATCATGCATGTAATTTCAATTCTTTGAATGACAAATTGATTGAAATTTTTATATATACAACAGAAATTTAATAAAGAAATGATAATAAAAATTATAAGTTTTATATAATGGTATTTTGATTTAATTGTAGAGACAAAAAAAAATATCGTTAAGTAAATAATGTTATAAATATTTTCTCTTTTTATACATAATCGTGATTAATTTAATTGTTTTATATCCAATATATGTAAAACTTCCTCTCCCACTAAATTAATCAATTTGTCACGATCAACGTTCGTAAATTCTGGAAGATTATGCAATTTCATAACCATTTGATTGATATTCGAAAATCCTGAGTTTACAGAGTAATCAAGAACAAGCTATAAAAAAGAATGTCTTAAATTGTGTAAATGTTTTTGATTTTAAATTTGAAAAAAAAGAATTAATATAATATAAATATTATACGTACAAAACATCCTTTAATACATTGTTTTGAAATATATTCATCAAATAATTCATTTATTTGATTTTCGTTCATTATTGAAATAAATAAATCTGATTTGTTAATATATGTCAGAACTTCGATGCTTTCTTTCACAAAATCACAGTGTAATAATATTATTGCTATATTAGCTATCATGGTAGTTCCAATTATATTACTTGTTTTTCCTTTTGTCATAATTTCTTTCTGTAAATATCAAATTTTTTATTATTGTTATTGTACTTTTTTTTTAAACATTAGATTCAATATGAATAAATAAGTGCTCTTAACCTTTATTTCATTCCAACAATCCCATGCTGCATTTATAAAAATTGTTCTTAAAGATGAATCAACTGATAAAATATTCATTTTCATTAAACGTATTAAAATAAGTTTTAGTGAAAGATCTATACGACAGTAGGTATTTATGTCTGACCATAATCTCGGTATATGTTTTTTTAAAACATGTGGATCACAGAATTTTAATTCATTTATTATATCTATCAAAAGTTGTTTTGTTGGCACATATTCATTTGGAACAAGTTTTTCATAAGACTCAAAGAATTCGTCAATTGTGCTTGTTGATAATAATAACAATATATATGCATTATAATAATCATTTTCCTAAATGAAAAAAAATATATATAAAAATAAAATATTGAATGTGTTATAAAATCCTTAAATAAAACGTACTATTATTGATGTAGGAATAAATTTATAATTATCTCCTGTAAGAAGAAGTTCATGGATCATATTACCAGCTTCTTTATTATTATGCTTAAGAGCTAAATACATAGTATGTTTAAAAAATTTATTATCCATTGGATCTTGAATGGTAAATCTTTTATTTTTTATTGTACGTAAAATTTCTATAAAATTATTATATGAATTATATGAATTGTCATCTGTAAGAAAATATAATTTTATAAATAAAAAATTAAAACAAATAAATTATAAATAATATATAGTTACCGTAATTTATAAATCCTTGTATAATATAATAATATGTCGCTAATGAAAATTTTATGTTCATATTTTTGAATTCTAAAAGTAAATATTTTATATTATCTTTAAGATTTTCTATTTTTAATGTAATAATCACTTTAAGAATAGAATTTAATGTTTGAATATTTGGTTTAATTTTTTTCTGATTCATTGATGTAAGAATGTCATACAAATAATCCATTTTTACTTCTTTTTTACTAAAAATTTTTTCAAATAATATTATTACATAATTCCAAGTAGTAAGATTTAATGGAATATCTTTTTCTTTGCATTTTTTATATAATAGCCAAGCTTCATCTAACTAAAAATATAAATTAAAAATATATTAAATTTTTAATAAAGATATAAGAATTTATTATAAGAATTAAAATTGATTTACTCTTGAATATTTTGTTAAACCACATATCATAATATTATGAGCAGCTGCTGCTGTTGAATCATTTTGAGTTATTAAGAAATTATATAATTCATTAATTTCTAATTTATATCTGAAATGTGAAACTATTGAAAATAATGTCAAATATAAAATTAATTCTTTTTTTTAACACTTACTGCCACATATACTTTTCTTTGGATGAAGAAAACCAATGTTCAAAAAACAAATTGTTAATTACATATCTTTCGTTGTTATAAAAACACAATAATTCTAAAAGTGCTTGTTTTGTTCCATTAGAAACATTAGTATCTAATAACTTATAGATATGTAAAGCATCAGATATCATACATTGAGATATAGCATGTAATAATATTTCTTCTGATACTTGACTTTTATCAGTATACTTTGGAAGTGGTTTAAATGCCTAAAGTGCATATTAAAAATTATTTATATTTAAAAAATATATAATGAAAAATATATTCTTTATCATTATATATATATGTATAATGAAATATATATAAAAATATAATAACATGTTATGATAAATTATTACTATAACAAATAAAATTTACCTTAATTTCTGGATTTGAAAGATGTTTTGGAAATAAATCACTATGTTCTTTATGAATCCACTTTGCAGTTTTTTTACCTGATTCATATGATAATGCATAAGTACGATAATCCAATTTTTTCACTGGAAGTAAATAAGGATCATCATGATACATATAATTTTTCATTATATGCATACTAGAATCTTTAGGTATAGTGTTCTCAAGAGCCTTTAAAAAAATAAAAAATAGTGAAATTGAATAAATATAATCTAAAATAGTACAAATCTTTTCTATGCTAGAAAAATTTTAGTATACTTACATGTAAAATATCAGTAGGATCACGTTTTATTCTACGAGGTATTTGAATTTTAGATTTTGATACTGACAATGAAGATTGTAATCTTCTTAACTCACATCGTGAAGTCCTATGAAAAAATTATTTTAAAAAAATGTCAAAAAGAAGAAAAGATATATAATGATATATACTCTTTATAAACTCTTTATATACGATCCCTGAATCATTTAAATTAAATAAATTTTCTTTTAAACTATTGTACTAAATACAACTAACCTATCTAAAATACATTTGAAGTGATTCATAATAAATATTTTTTAAATACTGTTTATAATATTAAATTTTTATATTTAAATATTTTTTAAAATATTATTGAAAATAAAAATTCTAATATATATTTGTCTATATAATTCTGTACAGACAATATATGTATTAACCTAAGAGAAAATTCTTTCACAAAAAGTACATATATACATATACTATACAAAGTTTACATTTTCTCATATCTATCTTAAGTAGATTTTCTATAATTTTAATTTTTCTATTCACAAAAACAAATATCAATTAACTATATGTATAAAAATATATTACAACAATTAAATTTTCGTGGAACAATTTTTATAATTTTATAAATTTGCATTTCATTCAATGACATATATTAAATAAAATTTTCAATATTATATCATATTATTTCTTTTTTATTATTTAATTTATAGATATTTCAGTAAATATTTGATAAATCGGAATGAATTCAAAATTGAAAAAAATGTAAAGCAAAAAAAATTAATCACAATTATATATTTTTCTTTTTATTTTTTTTAGAAAATAAAATCAAAATCTAAAATGTACATATGTAATAATTTATAATTATAAATTTTTTTATTAAATTAATTAAATAAATATAATATATAAAATAATATTAAATATTTATATATATATTAAATAAAATGGTTGATCATTTATTTTCTTCCGTTTAAAACATTTTAAAAAATATACATGTAAAAAACTTTCTGAAAAAACCTTCGATAAAAAATAGGGAAATTTATGCTATTATTTAAATGTTGACAAAATTATAATTAAACGATGTTTTATTAACAAAGAATTGATCGTAATTTATAATTGATCGTAAAATTAATATTGCAATAAATTATAGTATTAAAGAAATATATCCTTAAAAAAGATATATATAAGCTCTTTTTATTAAAATGATTCAATGAATCATTTGTTTCTGATCTTATAATTAAAAAATTCTTTGCCATTGGATTTATACTTAGACTTATATATATATATATATAATAGATGAATATGGCAGCTGCACAGCCATCTATAAGATAGAGATTCATTTCTTTCAACACATTTATTGTTTAGCATATGAATAGTAGATGTATGTATGCGTGTATATATATATATATATATATATATATATATATATATACATATATTGAAGTATACCCTTTGGCATATTACAAAGAATTGAATAAAGTTTATAAGGAAGCCAAAACCAGTCCACGAAGAGAAGCAGTCCTCTGCCGTGAGAACATGCGTGCGCGTAAATGTGCTAACATATAATTGTACGTATGTATGTATACTATATAGTGCTCACATAGGGAAGAAGCCAGGTGTTTTATTTCAAACCGTGAGACTCTTAAAAGGGGATGCTTGCACCACGTCTTCTACTTGAAGGATATGAATGAAAAATAAAATTCATGTTTCACTGATCAACAAGAAAAGCGATATTGATTTTACTAGTTTCATTATGTTTTCCTATTCGATCGAACGTAACTTAATCCCTAGTCTTTTTTCGTTTTTTCCATCTTCTCTTTTCAAGTAATTCTTTTTTTTTTATTGATATAACAAAAAAAATTGAATAGTATTTCAGCACAAATATTTATGCAACAATAAACATCATTTATATTTGTATTGTACTCTGAAAAAATATTAAGACTCTAAACAATAACTATTTCTTCCATTTTATTATAGATTGCAATAAACTCAAAAATGAAAAAGAAAAATTGTTTTTTCATATTTACAATTATTATTTAAAGAATAAATTTTTAAACATCTTTAAAATTTTATATTATCTAATAAAACTATTTAAAAATTATAGTTTAAAATACTTTAAAAGATAGATACAAGATAATTTAAAATTTCATTGAAAAAATGGTTTTAATATAAATATGTAAATATTTATTCGTTATATCGTTTTAATTTTAAATATATAATTTAATTTTACATATATTAAATATTTTGAAATTAATTTTTAAAAAATTATTTATTTTGATAAAAATTTAAACAAAAATTGCTAATTTTTGTGATATTAAGTTTGGGATGATAAATTTAATAATAAAATAATAAAATAATAATAGAAATTTGTTTGTTTTTCTTTTCTTTTAAATATATACTTTATTTTTTCAATTTGTATTTATATTTTTTTCTACAAATATATACATATATTTAAGACAATATATAAAATATATATGAAATATATAAAATAATATTTAATAATATATTTAATAATATTTAATAATACTTAATAATAAATTTAATATTTTTATTCTATATGTATAATTGTATGAATACATTGTAAAAAATATTCTTTTTAATTCTCGTTATTTTTTTAATATTTTTTCTTTTCTATTTCGAAAAATAGATATTGATATACATTAAATAAATAATATATTTCTATAATAATATATTTTCAAATAATATATTTCAATGAAATAATAAATTTAAAAATATATTGTTTCGATATTAGAAACGCAACAGATGATAGGTCGATTAGATCTAGCAGGCCGGGACGAGTGCAATTTGATCTAACCTTGCAACAAATAATGCCCAGATCCCAACCTGCCAGTATCTTCGACAAATTCAGTTAAAGTAATTAATATTATCTTCTGGATTATCCTTTGTTCTTCGGTAGTATTGTAGTTTCTCTTCTATCGATGAAATATAATGCATTCCGATAGGCCGGGACAAGTGCAATATTGAAGATTTCATCATCACGAAACATTGTCACAAATCTCGGCCTATCTTCCATGCAAAATAATAGATTTCTTTTCTCTTCATTTAAGAAATTTTATGAGATTTTATGAATTCTCATTGAAGATTCTACGAAATTATAACTTTCATATAATTATTAAAAATAAAAACTTATATCTAATTTTGTTTGTGTAAACACGTGTTTTCAAGTGTTGATCTCTTCGACTAGGTCTTCAAATAATTTATTTCCAAATCGAAGAGATTTTTATTCATTTTAATTTGTTTATATTAAATATTTTATGATTTTTATAAAATTGAATATTTTTATTGATTTTGTTTCTTTTAAATTGTGATTTGTCGTGTGCTAATATTATTTTATACACGAATTCAAGTTCACTACTACTTTGTACACAAATTTTACATATAGATACAATTTGATATGATTGATAATTATAAATTTCATAATTTAATGTCAAATATTATATAAATAACACTTTAATTTAAATTAAAATATTATTTTACAGAATGTCTTATAAATTTTTCAATCAATTTTCGCGCACATACCTATGACACACATTCGATTAAATGGTTTTTAACACATACATACAATTTTCAACGATTCGTGTCCTCAATCTTGATCATGTTTGAAAACATAATATTAAAAAACGGAAATAAACAAAAGTTATATTGATATTCTATGAACATCACAATATTGTAGTGAATAAATACACATTTCGACAAAGCACGTTACCGGTATCCTAACCCCCAAATCAAAGCAAATGACGTCTTTCACCGGTTGCTAATATTCCACGCCATGGTTATCTTCTTTCTTCCTTATTCTTCGTTTAACCTATCCCATTCTACATCGTGTATTTCATCTAATTGAAGAATATGATGTAAATGTTATAAAATCAATATAACAAATCAAACGATCCGCGTTTTTCGTCCACTGCACTACGTCAAGATGTATATATATCACGATATACAATATATCGATTATAATGACGATCACAACGATGATGACGACGATAATAATAATGATTACAATAATAATGATAAACTTTTAAAACTTCTTTCGTTAAACTTGTTTTTCGAAAAAATAAGCGAAGAGAAGCACGAAAGACGTGACATCCTACCCAGAGAGTTCCCAACAAACTGCTGCCCGTGACCAGGTGTCTCCTCTCTTTATTCCTTTTGGGTCCCAAGTACATGAAAGCCCCCAACTATATAGGTACCCCTTAGGGCCGATGGTGGGGGCTTATTCTTATTTAACAGCAACGAAGCAGGAACACCAGCAACAACCAACTTTAAAGCTTTCCTCTTTTTTTTCTTCGTGTCCTTTTCTCGATCTCTTTTTATTGTCTATCTTTTTCCGTTAGCTTCTACCTTCAATTCTTTCAAGTTCCTCCCCTTTTCTTCTTTTGTTCACTATCTCTTTTTCTCTTTCTTTTCCTTTCCATCATCCTTTTTCTACTTTCTTGTAATCCATCTCTTTCGCCTATTTATATGTGCGGCTATCTTTTCTTTCTAACTTATGTTTCTTCTTTGTTCTTCTTGTATTACTTTGTGATACTCTACAGATCTATCGGTAAAGCCCGCCAAAATTATATCAGCTGTCCTGAATTTTGCTCTACCTGTCAAGTTCGTGACGTATATGATTCTTGTTCTATCTTTTTGTTAGGTAAATGTCCAATGGGAAAAAAAAGGGTCGGTCGGATCTTATAACAACAAGACTAACGATTTATGTAACGACAATTTTCAAATTCATATTAGAAATATCGGTTTAAATCGGTTATAGTTTGACTTATGATAAAAATAAGTTATTATTTATTTGAAACATTATTTATTTTCATTATATATATATATGTATATTTTAAAAAATAAAAAATAAAAATTAGAAATTTTTAAATATAAAACATTGAATTGAATATGATCTACATATAATCTTAAATATAGTAGTTAGATAAATAGTTAGATATCTTTATTTTCTAAAAAAATATAATTGTTTATTATTATTATGTGTACATTCAACAAAATTTTATTATTATTATGTATACATTCAATAAAATTTTATTATTTAAAATTTAAGTTTATAATATATAAATAAATAAATATATAAATGCAAAAATAAGCATAAAATTTTTTGAATTTTTGACATGTTGACAAGCTCGATATTTTTTTTTTAATAAATTAAATTACATTTAATATTTATTATTCTGATATAAATGATTTCAAAAAATATATTATATACAATATATTATATTTATATATACATATATATATATATATAAAGATTCATAAAATAAATATGAAAATCAAATATTTTCATAAAAATTGCACAGTATATTTGATTTTATATAGTTTGATATTATAATTGTTTAATCAAATTATTATAAGTTTTCAAATAAGATATTACTTTAATGATATTCTTTTATTGATGAGTGACATGCATTGATATCCGAAAAAAGAAAAAGAATTGAAGACTGAAAGTGATTGAGAACCACTTGTAGGAGGACAGCTGCCGCTGCGAGCGCATCTGCTGTCGGTTGCGCGGGCACGCGCGCTTACATATCCTTATTCCTATGTTGGTACTATACACTCTATATAGATGCACACGGGTCGAACGCATACGGTACTCTTCTGTTCTCCTTATTTCTACCATGTTGTTCCGTCCTTTTTCGCTAATCCTTTCCTTTTCCCTTTCTTTCCTTATTTTTGTCCGAACATTCGCTGCTCCCCCCTTTTCTCATTCTTTCCTCTTTCCCCTCCTATCTACCTGTGTCCTTCGTTCATTTCAGTTGGTTTCTTTTTTCTCACCCTTCAAACTGCGACATCGCAGCATTCAAATCCCGTTTTCAATATACCTTCTAGCAAACGCTTCTTCTCGTTGTATTGGGGGTTGACGGTCTTCCCTTTAATACCAGAGCGAGGATTTATAATCCATGGGAGAGAGGGTCTACTCGTGTTTATGGTATATACGATGGCTGCTGATTTCGAAAGGCTCGTACACTTAGTTCATAATACCTACACAGCAGTAGGGTTTTCTACGGTATGTAACAGCATACGATGCAGCTTGCCACACAGCCGGTACGTAGACCGCCGCGGTACCCGAAAATTTTCTTTGTTCTCATTGTTCAAAGAATTTCCACTATGCGTTCACGATAGCTACGTTCCTTACAAAATTGTCGATTTTCTCTACAGAGGCATTTTTCCATCTGCTTTCCTTGTTATACTTATTTTTTCTCTTCTTCCTTTTTCTTCTTCATTCTCCACGAAACTCCCCATAGGATTTTAAGTTCAGCTCTTTTGTCTGTTTGCATACCTGCTCTCATTGAAATGAACTGATGTGATAGTTATCAATGCTTTAAATTTTTCTTGAAAATTTATTTTATTTTTTATTATTTATTATATTTTATATTAATTTTATTTGTTATATATCATTATAAAATTTGAGAAAATATTAATAGAAATTTATTATCTATATTATATCTATATAATTTAATTTTGATATGGATTGATAGGATACATCGATGATATATAGGTAATGAAGGATACATTTTACTTTTTATAATATTAAGCTATAAATATCATTTCTTTTATTTAATGTTGAAAAAATACTAAATTATAATATATTATTTCTGTTATCTTATCTTAAACTTTAAAGACCGGAAAACCACTATAATAGTTAAGCCTTGACAAAAACTTTGTGTAAGACATATTACTTATGCATATATATATGTGTATGTGTGTGTATTAGTTTTTCCAATGAATTTAATAATCAAATAGTTTATAATATTTCATTTGTTGGCTCTCTAAAGATTAAATAAGACAAGTTTTGAAGCATATCGACACATGCCAGAAAATGGCATCGATGTGCAGCATGTGTTTCACACCGTAGAGCCCAGATGGCAAGCGTTGAATCCCTTGCTTAAATTTTCATTATAACACTGCTGCTTTCCAGACCACCTGTTCTATGCGTAGTTTCAAACTATTCCTAAAATTTTATCAATATAAAAATATAATTTTTGATAATTTTTTCAAATTATATCTCAATATTAATTGCTTATATATATTACATATTATATATGTATAAAATATATAATATATCTAAATTAACATATAATTTAATGATATATTTTAATATATTCTTAATTATATTTTTATTTTAATATTTTAATATATTCTTAATATTATTTATCATAAAAATTGTTATATTTATTTATATTTATATTAATGTAAATAATGATTTTAATTTAAAAATAAGAATAAAATAGATTATTCCTTTTATAATCATTTAATAAAAAAAATTTTTATATGAATATATATACATAATAATATATTGTGTTAACAAACGACCGTTCCAAGCGACGTTATACTTTGAGACGAGTTTCAAAAGATCTTTGTTCGCATCAGGGAAGTGAATCCGTGGATGAATTCAAACGTGTTCGTGTATACGAATACTTTATGTCGTCTATAACAACCGGAAGTTGAACATACATAATGTTTCTGGGTGCGTCTGTTGTGCCATTTTTCGCTTCACTGACAAATAAAAACAAAGTATTGATTAGTCATGATTTGATGAATATAATATTTATTATCCATGCAAATGTAATATATTTTAACTAACATTTAATAAAATTTATTTCATTTTTTTTTTATTCACAAATATTTTTACAAATTAAAGAGAAGTTGGAGATATTATTATAAATAATTAACTTCTATTGACTTTATTTTAAATAAAATAATGGCTATAAATCATTACGAAAATTATTTATTACATTGATTATAAGAAAAAGAAATTTTTATAATTATTCTTTTGTATACAAAAGTTGTAAATATTTTTTGCAAGTAACTTTGTATATACAACTAGTTAATTATTATAAATATTTTTATACTTTACTAATTCTTATATAATTTATTTTAATATAGAATAATATAGAATATAGAATAGGAAACATTCATGAATTCATTATTCAAGTAATAAAACAGATTTCTTTCTTATTGATTGTACGAGCAGTCGGTAAGGAATTATTAAAATGATATATAAAAAAGTAAATAGGTCAAAATCCTTTCACTTGTTAGAATTAATTCCTCAAAGTTTTTACGATGACACGAATAGAAAATGTAATAGTTAAGTCAAATTTTATGTTTTTAAAAGAACCAATTTATAATACGAAGATTATTGTATGAAATATCAAAGTGAAATTATTTAAATATTAATTATACAATGAATTAATAGAAATAAATTATAAGGTATTGTTTAATTAATGGTTCACTTGATATAAGTGAATCATATAGTTTGTATTTTAAATTACAGTATTATTTTAAATTTTTACAACAAATATTTTTACTACATTATTTGTAATACATTAAAATTATATAATTGTAATACATTAAATAATGGCTAAAATAAAAGATAATACTGTTCAAGTAGTATTTGTTTCTTTACTGTTGGATCTTCTGGCATTTACTATGATATTACCATTATTACCAGCTTTATTAGATTATTATAAAGAAATAGAAAAAAATCAAGGTATATATTTTAAAATTTTATATTATGTACAAAATACAAGAAAATTTTTTGATGCTCCTGATAAGATCAATACAGTGCTTTATGGAGGTTAATAATTTTTATTCTTTTACTTTTTTAGTTAAGTTATTAATATGTTAATTTATATTATATTAAATTAACATATAATTTTGCTATAGGTTTCCTTGGTTCTATGTATTCCTTTTTACAATTTTTAAGTTCTCCAATAGTGGGAGCATTATCAGATATATATGGAAGAAAACCATTGATGATATGTTGTTTAATAGGAATTGCTTTGTCTTATCTGTTATGGGCATTTTCTTGTAATTTTGCTATATTTGTATTAGCAAGATTTATTGGAGGTATTAGTAAAGGAAATATTAATTTATCAATGGCTATTATTAGTGATGTTACCTCTCCAAAAACAAGAGGAAAAGCAATGGTAAAGTTTATTAAAATAAACATAAAGAAAAAGCATTGAACATTCAAGATAAATGAACATAATTAATGAATAAGTAAGTTAATATTTTTTATTTTCAGGCACTTATTGGTATAGCTTTTTCTATAGGTTTTGTAGTAGGCCCAATGATTGGAGCATTTTTTGCATGGACTTTTAGTGATAATAAAAAAGAAGCATGGTATATAATACCTGCTGTATTTGCTTTTTTTTTAGCAACAAGCGATTTGTGTTTTATTGTTTACTATTTAAAAGAATCTTTACCACAGAAGTATAGAAGCAGTAATCTTATATCTGGAATATCTGGAATTATTACTTACATTAATCCTATAGATTTATTCCAATTTAATGGAGTATCTGGTTTAAGTTTACAAGGTAAAATTATTATAAATATATATATTATAAATTTTAGAAATTAATAAAAATTATATGTATATTATTTCAGACAAAAAAAATTTAAAAACACTGGGTTGTGCATATTTCATATATTTGTTTATATATAGTGGCTTGGAATTTACTTTAACTTTCTTAACTCATTATTTATTTAAATTTACGAGCATGCAACAAGGATGGATGTTTTTGGGAATTGGATTAATTATGGCAATCTTACAAGGAAGTTGGATACGAACAATTCCATCTAATAAAACAAAATCTATTGCAGAATTGGTAAATAATTCAAATATTTAGAATAAAAATTGTATTTTTATTTTTGATTTCATTGTACAAATTTTTAGGGTTTATGGTTGATTATTCCAGCATTTATTTGTATAGGTTTAGCAAATGATATATTAACATTGTCAATTGGATTATGTCTGTTTGCAATTTGTAAGGGTATTAGAAATCTATGAAATTTATCTTTGATTATAAAAAAAGTTTCTGTATTTTTACATATATTATAGCTACTGCTATGGTTGTTACTTGTATGATGACTCTTGTAACACATATTGGTCCTGATTATCAAAAAGGTGCAATAACAGGTGTTTTTCGTTCTCTTGGAGCATTAGCACGAGCTTGTGGACCTATTGTAGCTTCTTCAGGTAAAAATAAATTATACAATCATTTAATTTAATAAGTAACTTTGAAATAAAAATGTTTATTTCAGCTTTTTGGTGCATTGGTAGTAAAGCAACATATCTTATAGGTGCTATATTTCTTATACTTCCACCTGTAATTCTTCAGATGATGAAATCATTTTAATATAAACATTTGTTTAAGTATTGCATATTTATATTTTTACAGTATTTTTATATATTTTATAAATTGTATTATATAAATATCTTATAAAAAAAGAATTTTTTGTGCAATTATGTATTATATATGAAAAGTATTATATAATTATATATTTTGATATTCAAATTATCTTTCATTATGCATTCTATCCTTCTCTATTCAATAGCTATCTTTAAATTAGTTAATAATATAGTTGTAAGTATAATTATTTGTGTAATAAATTAAAAAAAATGTAATTAAAATAAATATATTCATAATAAAAATTATTCGAATCATAATATTTTTTTTACTTGTTACATCCCTGGAAAATTTATGCTTTTGCGCATGCGTGCTTTCTTGATCACATGACATACACGCCATTTACGGTAAGAAATTCTCGGAATTTCTTGTTCGCGGCACTCTGTCGTCGTCCGCGCTGATGTGAGTAACACGAAAGGGGGAGAATTATTGACGCGATTCGCGCGTGCGACCGGTCCCGCAATCATTACGTTTACAATTATTGCGCGGTAGACCGAGTTTGATCAGTCCAAAGGTTAGATTCTTAATAGATTGATTCAAATAAGAAAAAATAAATAATAAAAATATACAAATCCTAATTGCTTCTGTCTTCGGACTAGTGAGCAGGTGAGTACAACGAATTCTTAAAGTGAATAACTTTTCCTTACCCCTCCCGCTTATCTATTTACGCGTTATTGCAATACGTCACATTCATTTCTAAATTTTTATGATATATTCCTCATCTATTGAATTTAATTAAGATTCAAGTAATCGATAAAATCATTTTATTTCATTTATTTAAATAGTATCATCTATTATATTAAATATAATATTGTTTCAATATAATATTAAATACATGTTTATAATTTCTCTTATTTAAGTTTCTTAAATATATACATATCCATTTTTAAAGTAAGCATGATAATGATACCTAATGATATCATCTAAATAAACAAATATCATGTAATGATATATCATCATATATTTTAGTTTAATGATATTAATTCATATGTTTTACAAAAAATATAATTAAAAATTTTTAATAAATATATTTTTATTTATTAAATATAAATATACAAATATAAGAAAGTAGAATTTATAATAAAAAATGTTAAATTGTGGTTGTATTATTTTTAAATTTGAACATTTTCATATTATATACATTAATGAAAATATAAATATCAATTATTGAAAAATATGATTATGTTTAAGGTAAAGGATTTATAATTAAAATCAAAATGTCATTGTGGGCAAAAGCACAACAATTACCACAGGATGCATTACAACAAGTACGTTCAGTATATGGAGAACATTTTCCAATAGAAGTCCGTCATTTTTTATCTTCTTGGATAGAAGAAAAAATGTGGTAAAATATTTATCTTGATGAATATTAATTTATTGAGTTATTAAGTTTAAGTTATAATTATTAAAAATATTTTGTTATAGGACTGATATAGAACCTGATAATCCACAATATGAACAATATATAGCTACTCTTGTTAGATCTTTAATACAAGAATTAGAAACTAAAGCAGCTTCATTAAATACAGATGATATGTTTTTAACAAAATTAAAATTAATGGAAGCTGCCAAAAATTTTCGTGTAAGTTATAAATAAAATTAGTAATTTATTTAAAATATATATAATATATTTATATTATTCTTTCTTTGTTTAATGTAGCAAAGATATACTCATAATCCAGCAGCTTTATTTAGAATAATTAGACATTGTCTAGGAACAGAAATGAAATTAGTAGCACAAGTTGAAAATGTTGGAGGTACTTTAATGAATATGGCAGGAGGAAAAGTAGGATTGATTAGTGATGCTGTTGCTGAAATAGCTCAGCATGTCGAATCTTTGCGACGTAGAACCCAAGAAACTGGAGAAGATTTACGAAAAATGGAGCAAGAACAAGAAGCATTTGCTATTAGTTATCATGAATGTACTAAGTTAAATGCTCATCTTCAACATTTTGCAACACAACCACAAAATCAACAAAATTTAGATATGGAGAAAAAAATTAGAAGGTAATTTAAATATTTTTAATAATTTTGATTCAATAATTTTTTTGAAAACTGAAAATATTCTTATAGGCAAAAGGAACAACAAGAACAATTATTGAACCATAAAGTAGCAGGCTTAATGCAATTACGATTAACATTAGCTGACAAATTGAAAGACACCATTACTAGATTAAATAGCTTGCAATCTAGAGTTTTAGATGATGAACTTATTCGGTAAAAATTATTCATTTTTTTTTCTTTTTTAAATAATTGACAGCATGATTTTTAAAGATGAAATATTTATTTTATATTTTTTAGATGGAAAAGAGATCAACAATTAGGAGGAAATGGTGCACCATTTAACAATAATTTGGATTCTATACAAGAGTGGTGTGAAAGTTTAGCTGAATTAATTTGGCTAAATCGACAACAAATTAAAGAAGCAGAACGTTTAAAACAAAAATTTGCACTTGAACCACCAGGAATGCAAGATATTCTTCCTACTTTAAATTCTCAAATTACACAACTTCTTAGTTCATTAGTTACGAGTACATTTATCATAGAAAAACAACCACCACAAGTAATGAAAACCAATACTCGCTTTACAAGTACAGTACGTTTACTTGTTGGTGGAAAATTGAATGTTCATATGACTCCTCCACAAGTCAAAGTGAGCATCATTAGTGAAGCTCAAGCAAATGCTTTATTGAAAAGTGATAAAATGGCAAAAAATGGTGAAGCCAGTGGGGAAATTTTAAATAATACAGGCACAATGGAGTATCATCAAGTAAGAAAACAAAAATAATTAAAATTATTATTTCTATTGAAAATATTAAAAAATAATTTTGCTTTTTAGGCAACAAGACAACTTTCTGTAAGCTTCCGTAATATGCAGCTAAAAAAAATCAAAAGAGCAGAAAAAAAAGGGACAGAATCTGTAATGGATGAAAAATTTTCGCTTCTCTTTCAATCACAATTTAGCGTTGGAGGAGGTGAATTGGTATTTGCAGTCTGGACATTAAGTTTACCTGTCGTAGTTATTGTTCATGGAAATCAAGAACCACATGCGTGGGCTACAGTTACATGGGATAATGCATTTGCTGAACCTGGAAGAGTGCCATTTGCAGTACCTGATAAAGTTCCATGGGGTCAAGTAGCTGAAGCATTAAATGTTAAATTTAAATCTGCGACAGGTCGTGCATTAACAGAAGATAATCTACGATTTCTCGCAGAAAAAGCATTTCGCGGTGGAAATGCAAGCGGACAAGATTATTCTAGTTTACTTTTGAGTTGGGCACAGTTTTGCAAAGAGCCATTACCAGAAAGAAATTTCACATTCTGGGAATGGTTTTATGCTGTGATGAAATTAACTAGAGAACATTTAAAAAACCCATGGGTCGATGGTTATATATTAGGATTTGTAAGAAAAAGACAAGCAGAAGAAATGTTGGCAAATTGTGCATCAGGAACATTCCTAATGCGTTTTTCAGATTCTGAACTTGGGGGTGTTACTATTGCTTGGGTTGGAGGTAAATGGTTTATACATTTTATTTTTTCATATTAGATTCATTATTATAGTTTTTTTTGTATCTGATTTAATTATTTTTATTTTATTAAACAATTTATAGATCAGACAGAAGTTTTTATGTTACAACCATTCACAAGTAAAGATTTCGCCATTCGGAGTTTAGCTGATCGTGTATTTGATTTACAACATTTACTTTATCTTTACCCTGATATATCAAAGGATCAAGCATTTTCTAAGTATTATACTCCGTTTACAGGTAATTTTATTCCTAATATTTTTATTTTCTTTTGTTTATTCATGTGATATTTTGAATTGAAATTATGTCAAATATGTTTTCTTAGAAAATCAATCAACATCAACGAATGGATATGTAAAACCATTTTTGGTAACACACGTACCTGGATGGGGTGGGCCTGGTGTCGGTGGACAAACACCGTCACACTCTTCTGTAGTTGGAGTAGGAAGTAGTGGTCAAAGTGGCCCTGGTAGTAGTTATCCTGCAACACCATCTACTATGTTTCAAGCGCACAGTCCGGATCCTTCTGTAACTCGTGATACTCCATCAGTGGCTTCCAGGTCAGTCCCCTGGATTTAAAATATCATCATCTCTTTTTTATTAATATAAGCTGCCATAGAAATTTAAATATAAGATATGCAAAGATTCTTTTTTGACTTTCGTATAATGTTGTAATTTTTTATTTTATAACATATCATTTCCGGTGATTGAAATAATTATTTTTACAATATTATATAATTATTACGTGTACTATTTGCCAATAATATATAATAATATATAAAGTTTATGTTTGAATATTTAAAGTTTTATTAATAAAAATAAACGAATGATGAATTTGCAAAAAAAAAAAAACAGACATTCCTATAATTACATAATATACTTTGCATGTCTTTTATGTTCTATTTGTGCAGATGAATCTCAGTATTGTTTTTTTATGTTCTCTTTTTGTGAATGATTAGTATAAATATATGTAACAAGTGCTATAATTTACAGTGATACTGTAGTTTCACATTTTATAAATTTTTTTGAATTTATGAATTAATGAAATTTTTGAAATTTTTATATTATTATTGTACCGTATTGAAACATAAATAATATAATTCATGATTTAAAAAATTGTATACTAAAAAATATTGAGTACATGAAGAATTTTGATAAAAGATATAGTTTTTTTTTATTTTGCTTGAAATTAATCTTCATGTTACTCTATCAATATTATAACTTTTTATCAATAAGCATATGTTTAGTATTAAGTGATATTATTAGAAAGCTTAATATAATTCAATACTGCCGTTATGAAATTTCCAACGTTCATTGCAAAAAAATTTTATACGATTTGAAAAAAACATAAATATGTTTTTTACGGAATAATTGATAAATGGAATATTTCATATTCGTTCTAATTATGCGATACTTAATACAGTTGAGTAATATTTCAAATTTTATAAAATTGCTTGTAAAGCAAATTACAATGAAATCCGTCCAACGGATAATGTAGATAAAGTAGATTCATGGACTTTCGAATATTGATTTTTGATATTTTTTTCATGTTTTCATTGTTTTTATCATACAATATATACATGATTTTTGTAGCATTAATAATGGATATAAAGAAAAACGAATTAAAAAATAATAATTCATGCGTTCTTCTCAGACTGCCAAATTTTATACTCTCTCTCTCTCTCTCTCTCTCTCTCTCTGCTGTCTGTCTGTCTGTCTCTGTCTATCTATCTCTGTCTAAAGAGAAACGGCTTATCCATGGCATTATAAAAATAAAAATCAAAAATTGATGCAAATATGTATTCTTACACATGCATACGCGTACACATTCACATATGTATGAACACACACAAACACATAATGAATATATACATATATACACTGCACGTGATGTATGTGTATGTGTGTGTGAGTGTATGTGTACGCACGTATGCATTTATTTATATATACTAAATTTATACGAAAGAAAATAAAAGTGTTACAAATATGCAAAAAGAATATATAGTAAGAAATTTTTAAAAAATCGAAGGCATAGGCCTGGAGCAAGCCGGTACAACCACAACAACGGAAAATCAAATGTTTAAATGCTGAACTGCTGAAAAAATAAACACAACTCCAATCACATGATAATTATAATTTTAGTACTGGCAATCGAATATATTTAATCATTATTATGAAATTATTACGAGACCAAGGCTAGAATTTTTAAAAAAATCATCTAAATAGATTGTATTTTTTTTTTGTAATAAACTAGAAGCATCGCAGATGACTCTTAAGTGACCGATCAATTTCAATTAGGTTGGGGATTTTTTGTGGTTGTTCGTATTTCCTTTGCCGTGTTGTACCGGCTATCCGGCTAATCGGTCACACGTTTCGTTTCGAAACAGATGGATAAACTCTTCTGAAAGATTCGAGCAACAAATTAAATACTTTAAAATATTAAAATTAAAAGAAGAGGAAAAAGGAGAACAGGAAAGAACAAAGCTAGATTGAATTGGTTTCGTACCATGTATAATATATTTACGAGTCTTTTGTTCATTATTATGCCAGTGATTGGAGTTGTGTTTTAATTTGTGGTAGCTACGCTCCGGGCCTTGGCCAGTCAAGTGTTGGGCGAACAAATTCGGACATGGACTATGTGGAGCTGATGGGCCATGCTGAGCTGCCTTCGATCGAGGAAAATCTCAACTTGGATCATTTTAGCTTCAACGAATTCATACAAACGTACAACACTAAACCGCAATAGGTATGTTTAGGCGCGATCATTTTTTGTGTCTAAATTTCTATTAATTGTCTTCGTTTTTCACTTTAAATCATTTTTTCAATCATACATCATTCAACATTGTAATTTGTTATTATTATTATTGTTCTTTTTATAGGGGAGGGATGTAAAAATGTTTTTGTTGTCTTGAATATATTATCTTTTATATCTATTAATTATATTCGCTTCTAAAAAAAAAAAAAAATCTGACATATCTTCTTTCATTGTGTGCAATATAGATATATGTACAGAGTGAAACACGTAACTGGAATCGTTTCGATTATTTTGCAAATAATGATTTTAATGAAAAATATTTCATATAAGAATTGAATGTTTTCTAAGGGAATATTATTTTAATATTATAATATTAATATATATTCATTAATTTTTTTATAAATAAATTTCCTTATCTATGAAGGAAATATATGAAAAAGTTTATTTTTTTAATTAAAATCATTATTTATAGAATAATTGAAATAATTTCAATTATTTGTTCCATTCTGTATATACAATGTAAATGAAAATAACTTTTATAAAAGCTATTTAATCATTTAATTTTACAAACGAATGATAGCAATCGATAGCATTTATATGTATTATGAATAATTCATGTGTCGCTTTATAAATTGATTACTTTTAGTTTGGATAAAATATTTATTATATAATAATAATGTCATTTAATGTTTAAGTATTTAGTTAAATGAAATTGAACAAATCGAATATTTGATACATATTATTGAAAAAATTGATCTTGTTTTATTATTTAGATTTTATTTGAAAAAAAATATCATTATAATATTCTATTATAGTAATAATGCAAATATAATATACAAAAAAAATATAGTATATTAACTTTGATTGTTGCATAGTCTACAATTTTAAAAATTATATTTTTTTATAAGATAATGATATTTCTTTTAGAAACGTAAAAACATTAAATAAATATTGTGCTCTCCTTTTTGTTTCTAATAATTACTTGTAATTATATAATAGCTTAGCAAAATTTTTGGTTATTTATTAAAAAACAAGATATGAAGGAGAAAATGATGAGTGAGTAATGATGAGATCTAGATGTCAACGGAGAGTAGAATTGTTATAATAATCGCATAGAATATATAAATACAGACAATCATTTTCGCGTCCAGTTATGTAAATAGAGAATTTACAAAAAATTAGAATTTTAATTTACCAATAATCTAGAATATCGAAATGAGAAAGGGGGGTTGTGCAACGTTAATATAGAATATATATATAACATGCAATTCGTGTGACCTAAATATGTGCCTTAAAATCTTCGAATTTCTGCTTGTTATATTTTTTAACAAACTCTTAAGACAAGTTGCATATTTTTGGTATGAATATTTTTTTCTTCGTTTCACTCATCGTTCGATTTGATAAAGAAATGATGTATTTTCTACCGTTTAAACATTTTGTATATTTAAACGTTACTTATTTAAAGATATTTGAAAGAATGAAATCTATTTGATGCGTAATATTTTTAATGCGACGAAAAAAAAAAAATATGTATTTTCCAATTATCGAAATAAAATTTTCGGTAAATATTATATATTAGATTTATAAACATAAGAAATTCTTATCGCTAATTAAAAATATATATGTTATTTGTTTTCTAATAATTGTATACCCTCCCCTGTAATTTATGTAATCTATTGAAAATTAATTGTTGCGCGTATATAAACCATCGACGTACATTAGATTTCATTTTGGATAGATTTGAAGGCATCGTTATCCTCATTATATTAACTATATATAATATAAATATTATATAATATATATATATATATTATATATGTGTGTGTAACCGCGTATGGATTCATGTATGTACGAATTTATGTATGTATGAATGCATGCATGTACCTGACTATGTATATGCGTGTGTGTACGTACATGTGTATGTATGAATGTATGTAAAGATAAGTAAACTTCTAATTGTAACGTTAACATTGTTCATTATTCAAATCTATTGTCTATTATCTTTTATCTAAAAATTAGAGTTTATTTTATTATCGAGAACAATCTTACTGTTTGTAAAAGATATACGTTATTATTATCTTTATTCATCTACACAATAATTATTATATAAATGTAAAATATATAAGATATGTTCGTATAGAATAAAATAGGTTTTTAATTCGATTCCTAAATCATGTTTCGGTTTAAATTTTGACAATTAAATACTTTTTCTCTAAATATTTATTATAAATATTATAAGATAGAAATAAATAACATAAACTTGTAACAAAAAAGTTATACAAAAGTTTCATGATCTAATAAGATTGCTAATATTTTACTTATTTTGAACAATCCTCGGCCAACAGATTATCATCTTTGTGTAAGCAATCGCATTCAGGTATACATGTATCTTCGTAGTATCCAGGTGCAGGATAACTAACTTGATAAATAGTATCTGTACACATTGGATCCGTAGGCCGTTGATATTTATCCTTAGATGCCCAAGGTATAAATTCTTTAGGAAGAGGGGTCCAAGGTTGATAGGATAGTTTGTTTATAGTATCATATTCAACCTTTTCAGCAAACCTAAAAGATAACAGCGTAAAAAAAAAATGCTTATTTAATTCGAAGAATCGTAATACAATGTGTTGCAATATATATTGTTGGTCAATAAAGGACATTGCTAATGTACCTTTTGTATTGAATGACAGGTTTAAAACTCTGAACTAATTCTACCGGGCCTGGTTTCGCGTACGATAATTTCGTCGTAGTTCTATCATCGATCGGTGTATCAGCGCTTCGAAGATTATCGCACGGAACAATAAGATCAGGTCGTAGCGTTGACTTTTCCACGAAATCACAACGGCTGGTAGTGTCAGATCGCATCGGGCCCTCACCTAACATCTTTCTACTTCGAGGTAATATCGGGGAACGTTTCTCGGCTTGAAGTGGTTGGTAACTTAACTAATTGATAAATCAAAGTAAAAAAAAAATATAAATAAAAATTAAAATAAGAAAAATTAAAAATAGAAAAATAATAATTGCAGAATGAAAAGGAAGAAGTTAATGGAAAGTGCTGAACGTCGTTGTAAATGTACTTTGCTCGTTGTGTCTGCCGATATCTTGCCGTCAGCTCTTGTGATAGCGTTGCAAGGAATAATCGGTTCCACGCGATCAATGGTCGATTCCAAATAGCTTTCTTTGTAAATAGTTTTATCATGAAATTCACCGCCATAAGGAAATACATTGGCAGGACAGGGCACTATAGGTTTTTCTATGCATGACTCTTCGTTTTTCAAATAACTTTCAGAATACGTTGTTTTTGCACACATCGCAATGTCTGGAGGTCTATAAACATTTCGTGAATTGTTTAATGTAATTAAATAATAATAATAATTAATAATAATTGTCTATTGTAAATTGAAGATACGAATAAGAAGTTTTTTATAAAATGATATATACTTGTAAGTAGGTTTTTGTTGCCAAGAATATATATCTCTTTCTTGAATAGGAACAGGCTGATAACTTAATTTATGCGTGGTATCGTCAAAAATTGGTTCACTAGGTGGACAATAAACCGATATCGGTTTAAAATTAACCGTTGGTTCAGTGGATCCTGGATCCATATAAGAAAGTTTTGCTGTGGTACTATCCTCCAATTTGCCTCTACTCAAACGAATATTCCCGCATGGCACTATAAGTTCTTGTTTCTCTACATATTTACGTGGGTAATCTTGACGAACCGTTGTAACAGAATCCATTGGACCAGTTCCAATCATCGGTCTAATATCGAAGAAATAATTTCATCGTTAAAACTATTGAAAATTAAGAAATTTTTTTTAATTCGATTTGACATAGTTTTCTGAATCTGTTACCTATGTTTGGGTAAAATTGGTTTTGTTTTAGGCACAGCTTCAATAAGTTTGTAACTTAATTGATTAGTTGTTTCAGCGAGAAAACGAGCATCGGATTTAACGAGAGCAGGTTTGGGTCGGATGGGTTGAGATCGGCTGCGTCGCATTTCCGCATCATCCACGTTTAAATATGACAAATGATACGTTGTATTAGTTTCAAATAGCTTTGAAGGTGGATGATACGTTCTTACGGGGGCGAATGACTTTGTTCGTGATGGTTGAACATATCTTCTTTTACACTAAATACGCATAATATTAATGATAAAATTATATAATAATCGATTTTATCATTTCAATAATAGAAAAATTAGCAGATTTCTTTACTTTTATATCACATGGACATTCTGATTTCTCGCATCTTGGTGTTCGAAGTTGCTTTTTCGTATTAATCTCGATTACTTCCATTTTGTATTTGATATTATTTCACATAATAATAATTTCCTTATTTTTTTCGTTTTTTAATCAACAAGATAGAGATTTATGTTTCCGATTAATAAATCTCTCAAAAGATATGTAACATATAAAATACAATAATATAAAATGATAAGATTGTTGCAAACGTCAACCCCTACGTCACATCTTGCAACTTCAGTAAAAAACACATAATTTAGCGAACCATGCTTCGAAGTTAGTATTAAATCGATTATTTTAATGAAAACAAAATAAAATCAATGATAAAATCGATTATGTCAATAATCGAATATATATTTAAATATTTTAAGATATGATATGTTATGATAAGAGAATTTGTTATTTGCAAACCGATAATGATAAATGATTTAACTGATAATAATTTCAATAGAAATTTTTGTCTTAGCTACTAATAGAAAATTTATTTCCTTATATTGTACGTATCGATTAAAAATATAATATGAATATGTAGAATGTTTTATTTTAAATAATAAGAATATCTTTTCACTATTTTAGATCACAGTTAATTTTCAAGATTGGATAGATGTTTCTTTTTGATAGCATCTAACGAAAATGCATGTAAATCGATGTATTCTCAAAACAATGATACATGGAAGACATAAGAAACATACAATGCGATTATGTTTAATTGTCCACGTTTCATTTTAAGGGGATGTCATTTATATGCGTGGTTGTAAAATACTGCCTATATTCGTTTATCTTTTTTTTCACATTTCCATATACGAAGCATATCGAAAAATATGTTTTAACAATTATATATATTTACTGTATACAATATAATCATACTATGGTTTGAATTAATATAGTCGAATTAAAAGAAAATGCTATAGACATAAGATAAATTAAACATAAATCTAACGTAGACTGTAGATTAGAAATTAGCATTGAAAAAAGAGGTAGTAATGCGTAATAAAATTAAGAAATACAGAACAAATAATAAGATGTATATCTGTGAGGCACCGAAGAGTTCTTTTCAGTTAACACAGAGAGCTAATGCTGTTTTTCAAGCATTTAAGAAGAAGGATCTTCCTAACACCAAGAGAAGAAAGGACTTTTGTTCTGGAAGCGCTGTGTAAATGTGTCGGAGAACGAGAATAGTCTTGGTGCTCCATTTCCCTTAGCCCTATAAAATAGTATTGATAAAATTACATTTTAAATCGGAGAATGTGTATGCCTTCACAATTTTTTGATAATTTATAAATAATTAATATATATAAATACTTTTCAACGATCACAGCAGGCATTTGAACCAATTGTACGGGACTTTTAGCATCCTTTAAAGCTTGTTGTAAATTCAAAATCTGTCCACGCATTACGCTCATTTGTTTATCAAAATGATGTCGATCGAAACCTTTATCTTGCTATAAAAATAAATATTTCTTATTCAAATTAGTCAAATTCTAATCAATTGTCTATCAACATAAAGTAATCTTAATTTATACAACTTACTTTAAATAATTGATACAAATCGTCACAAAGATCTTGTACAAAATTTTGATCCGAGAGTTGTGGTAACACAAGCTCTCGTGTTATATCGCTAAATGGTTGTTTTGCTTGACTTAACCATGCCCAATGATAAGGATATGCACGCCAAGAATCAGGATGTTTAAAAGGAAAAGCCAAACCATTGTCTATAGCGGCTATTTTTACTTCACTTTGTTCCATTCCATTTTTTCCCTTACTGTTATCGTATTTAATTAACCAATTTTCATTGCCTTTAAAAAGATTGTATTTAACGATTCCGTATAACTCTCTATGTAAAAGTTAAAATTATCTTATGAATATTAATTACTTCTATCAGTATTCCTAATTATATAGTCCAAAATAACTAAGCGTTCAAATTGAAGTTGAAATTCTCTACTAAGTCGAGGTGATAGAGGTTCGTTTTCCCATCGCCTTAACCAATAATCAGCATCCTTGTAACCATCTACAAAAACTTGAAAAGAACCAACTTTCGGCGGCAAACCAATACGATTGAAGTGAGATCCCACTGTTGGAAACTGGTCCATAATTGCTTGCTTCATACGGGCTTTTTGACGGTCTAAGCGTGGGTAGTTAAATGTTTTACTGACAAGTTTAACTACTCTAGTGTTTGGTACTATGCCCAAACCTAATTTACGGTCAACTAAACTTGCACCCGCCTCGCTGAGATATCCTTGATTTGGAATTAAACAACTTCTCCCAAAGCAACAAGGACAACAAAGCTTGTGCATCCATTTTGTCCATTTTGGATTTAATCTTCCATATGGTTCTTCATCTTTTGGTTTAAAAACACCTATTATTCTCTATAAAATAAAATAAACTGTTATTAATACATAATTAGTTTAAACAATCTACTTTATTACATAAAATTTTAATTTTTAAATGTAAAATATTATACCTTACCCCTGTAGGATTTTTTACAAAATAACTGCCACTAGAACCCTGATATATTCTTTCTGGAAAGATTCCATTATCTATTGCCAATTCTGCCTGCCATACTAATTCAGAAAATTGTGGATCATCTAAAAAATATAATGCACAATTGATGTAATTAAACATAAAAAAAAATTATATAATATTTTTTTATAATATATATTTAAATAAATTACAAACCAGGAAAGCGATTGAAGGTGACATCAAGTTCCAGCCGACCAAGGAGAGGCTGGCTCTCCCGGTCAATTCCAGGGGAATCAATGGCTATAGTTTGTTCGTTGCTCAGATTGGGAACAAATTCAACGTCTGGTATTAATTCTGAACAATCGTTTACTGATAAACAATTATTAGATGTGATTGAAAGATCTACCAGTGCGTCAGTTTCTACTAAGACAGAAGTATTAGTATTATTCTGACTATGATATTCTCGATAAGGCACGTGTAATTGCCGTTGTTCGGAGTCACTCATTACAATCGAATCTGCATAACAATATTTGGCAGATTCCTTTAATATTCAATCGCTTAAAAATTTGTTTGCACAAATAATTTTGTCTATTTTCCCATATTCTTATTCCACCTGTCAATGATGCAAACGATCAAATTCGTATTTAGCAAATATTTTCACCATTAAAAATCTAAAGTCTAAAGCAATCATTGCGTCATTAAAATAACTTTGAATTATTGTAAATTTATTAATTTATGAGAATAGCCATGGATTGAGAGTGTATGTTTACGATGCTTAAAAGAACACTGTATAACTAATTAATAACTATGGTTCATCATTCCAGCAGACGATATCAGCTGATAGGATTAACGCCATACTTAATTTTTTTTATACTATTTCCTGTGCTTATAGATATGTACACATAATTATAGTTTTCCATTTATGTAAAAAATGCATATTTAACTATATAATACATATAATTATTTTATGCGCCATTAATACTCTTATAAATTTGTCCACAAAATGTGTATGAATAGAGGGATATAATTGTATCTTATATAGTTTTACTTCAAATCATAATAAACATCAAACATAATAAATAATTATAAAATAAACATGTAATTTTTAATAACTATTATATTTTTCATATAATAACATTTTATTTATATATGTATATAATAAAATTATATTTTGAAAATTTGAAAATATTTAAAAAAACAAAATATTGTAAATTTTCAGAAATATAATATAATTTCTAAAAAAATATAATTCTATTTGTAACGTATATAATAAATAATATTAAAAAATAATGTTCATGCAATTAAAATATTTATTACAAAATTATGTGAAAAATTATATACCAACCAATCAGCATAAAGAACATCCTATTGAAATACAAACAAGGAAGATAACGTTTCAATAATCATAGTCATATGTAATATTTGATCACATACTTGGTGTTCGCGTCGTTGCTTCAGTAGCTACGGATTCTCTTCAAATCGCATTTGGTTAACTTATTTTTTTTAATTACGATCGTGATGTACCTTTTGTGTGATTCTTTAAATATTTTGAATAATTTAGTAATTCGATCATTCATTTCTTGGAACTTTTTATCTCTATTGCTTTTCAAATATCGGTTGTCATGATCGATTTCTAACTCTAATAATTCAACATAACGTTAAGTTTAATTAATTTATTTATTTAATGTATTTAATTATTAATTATCAATGTAAATATCTATATTTTAAATGAGAAAAAAATATATGTATATATACACATATATACATACATACATGTATATATATATGTGTACATGTATATATTTAAGTAGTAAAAAACAGAAAATAAATTGTATATAAAAAGTTTTAATTCTAATTGTGTTAAAAATAAGAATTTATCATTGCAATTAATGCATCCTGTAAAAAGCAAAATGTTTCTTGTATGTGTAACTGTGGGCCTTGTACTTTTGGCCTCTAAATATCACAAGAATGTTTTTCAAAGTGTTAAACACCTTTGTCAACGTATAAAGAATAAGAGCTATAAACAACATGATCAGAAAAAGAAAGATCTTAAAATTACATTAGATAAAATTATTTTGGCTGATACTCCAGAGAAATGTGATTATGCCATTCAGCGTATTCACTGGTAAGTTTTATAATTATAAATTATAAGTTATACAATTATTTTCTTATCAATATCCCCATCCAATATGTACTAAGTCTATAGTACTGTTATGTGTTTACATTTTTTTTGTTGTATATCTAATTATGAACTTTTAGGAAATTATATTAGTTATATTGAAATATATACATATATATATATTTTTTTTTCAGTTACTATTTATTATTTAAATAAGTTTCATTTATTTAAGAAATTATTAATAAATATATATTAATTTTATATATTTATTTTTTATACTGAATGAATTTTAAATTAATAATTCTAATATATATATGATTAAAATTTTCTAAAACTATAAATAACAATATATGAAAAATATAAAAATATATTATTAGCAATTTTATTTTAATTTTTTTATCATTAAATATTTTTTTGTTAAAGCAACTTATCTAATGATGTATTGGGTTTTGATTGTGAATGGGTAAATGAAGGGCCTGTTTCTTTACTTCAACTTGCTACATTTAATGGAGTGTGTGGTCTTTTCCGTATTGGGAAAATAGGATATATTCCTCAAAAATTAGAAGTATGTAATATTTGATAAATTTAAATTAATATATAAATTAATTGTTATATTAAATTAATAATACAACAAATTCTCTTAGGAGCTGCTAGCTAATAAACGTATTCTTAAGGTAGGAGTTGCTTCATATGAAGATGGTCAAAAAATTATAGCAGATTATGGTTGTAAAGTTTGCAATACACTTGATTTAAGGACATTAGCAGAACGTGTAAATTTACCAAGTCCAAAAAGTTTAGCTGCAATGAGTTTGCAATATTTAGGTTTGGAAATGGATAAATTAATAAAAGTAAGGTGTAGCAACTGGAATGCTGGCACTCTTACTGACGAACAAGTAGCATATGCTGCTTGTGATGCACTTGCATCTGTTCTTATTTATGACCAAGTAAAATATAATCTATAATTTGAAAAAATTTTATTATGAGAAATATATATATAATATCCATGCTAAATTATTTTATATTTTATAGATCATGCAAAAAATAAAAGAAAAATACTCTTTGTGGGAAAACTTATTAAATTATATAAAAAATATATGTAATAGAAATTTAAATATGCAATTTTATTGTTTACCTAATGATGTAATTGATACAAGGTAATATTTATTTTTGATTATTATTATTATTAATATTATTAATATATTAATAGAAAAGTTTGTTTCAAACTTATATCTTATATTTTAGATTCAGAACTCAACAAGCACATGTAACAGTTAATCAAAAAAATATTGAAAATAATTATTTTGATAAGATTACTAAAGATTTAAAGACAAAAAACATTGTACGTAAAAATAATATACCTACAAGAAACAAACCATTATATCATAATTGTTATTTACAAGCACCTGATGGAGAAATATTATGTACATGTGATCGTAAGAAAGCAGAATGGTATGTTACAAAAGGATTAGGAGAAATAATTGAAAACGAACCATTTACTGTAAGATTGAAATTTGAACCTTCTGGACGTGCTTTGGGAGAAGTTGGACAATATTATACACAAGTTAAAATTAATCAATGTGTAGTTTGTGGAACTTCAAATAAATTCATTAGAAAAAATGTTGTACCTCGAGAATATCGTAAATATTTTCCATGTGAGTTGTATGTTTAAAATTTAATTTGATTTATTTATAATAGAATAGAATATTAACAAATTTACAAATCAATACAATTTTTTAGTGGTGATGAAAGCTCATCAATCTCATGATATATTATTATTATGTCCATCCTGTCATGAAATAAGTAATTGTCATGATCTGCAGCTCAGAAGAAAGTTAGCAGATATGTGCGATGCTCCTTTAGCTGGTCCATTAACACATATACGTAATAAACATGTAAATAATTATAGAAAATTACATTCTGCTGTTAAAGCACTGAAAGAGAGAACAACTTTACCTGATGCACGACGCAAAGATTTAGAACACTATATTTCGGAATGTACAAATGGACAACAAGTTACACCAAGTTTACTTGATGCATTAAATAAAGAATTAAAAAATGTTATAATTTCATTGCCTAATTATGATCAATTTAAATGCCAACCTCATGGCTTAAAGGTATTATGAATAAATAATGAATCAAATATTTGTAAAGTTTTTTTAGTATATTAATGTATATTATGTATATTGTATAATAATGTAGTATATTAAATTTATTTTGCAGGTAGTTCAATATTTCCAAAAAAGGGAAGGGGGATTAGTAGAATTGGAGCGTATGTGGAGAGAACACTTTCTTTTGACAATGAAGCCAAAATATCTACCAAATTTATGGTCTGTTCGTCATAATCAAGAAAGATTAACTATTCGTCAATCTCAGAACAGAATTGAGCCAAAAGATGCAAAGGTAGCTGGTTTGGCATACTGAATTTTATATATTGTGTATATAAGAGGACTCGTATATGAGCGAGTACTTGTATTAAAAGACTGCTACATAAATCTGTATATCTTTTATGTGCATATATTTATATACATGTGCATATACATATTATTTATATATTTAGATATGTACAGATATATACAGATATACATAAGAAATAATGTTTTTCATTTTCTACCCAATTGATTGAAATTTATACAAATACATTAACTTATAAAAAAAAAAATTTGTAATTTATAAAAAAGAAACTGTAAATAATGCTTCCATCTTTTTCAATATATTTTAACTAATTATAGAATATAAATTTTAATTATTATAAGTTAGATTTTGTGAAAATACCCGATTATTATTTATTATTTTATATTTTTATATTTTATTTGCAATTAAAATATCATTACAAGCATATATACAGACTTCAAAGTTATATCAATTAAATTTAGACTACATAAAAATAAGTTAAAGTCGTCTTGACGCGTTTTGTTCGGAGTTTCTATTCGGAGGAGGAACTTTCACATTTTTTATTTCTTCATCAATGCGTTCTTTAGCACGTACAATTTTTGATTGAATATAAAATGAACCACCTTTTGATCTGTCATTAACTTCCATGAGATGTTTATAGTTACGTTCAATGGCTTCTATTTGGTCCACTCGTTCAACATTTAAAATCTGTAATGCTTCTTCTAAAGAAATACCAGTTTTATAATTTGTTGCAGCATGTTGAGCACCTCGTGTCCCACCGCCTGTTTTACGTGCAGCTGCTTGACTTGCCGCAATTTCTTCTCGCAATGCTCGTGCGAATGCTCTAAACACGACTTGCGTTCCCATTATTATTATTTGTACTAAGTGTTTTGCCATAACCTCTTTTCTTATTGAAAATAATTGTCAAAATAATTTTAGATACAATTTTTTCTTTATAATTTATCTTTTACAAAATATTTATATCAGACAAAATTTGTTTTTATGATATTCAAATATATATACTATTGTTTTCAAATTTTACAATAGTTTCCTTAATAACTTATTTCTTACACGTTTTGCACTTGTATTGCACCATTTCAGAACACATCGCTCATATATATATTTACTATACGTACATACATTAATCATTATTTATATATAAATTAAGTTTTTGATTCAAAGAATCATATTTATAATTGTGTCATAAAAATTTTTATTATATCTTATTTATCAAAAATTTCATATGATATTATCTATTTTTATAGAAGATTTCTAGTAAGTATATTAGGTTAGAATTAAAACAATATTCATAAAAAATAATACTTATTAAATATTAATTAATATTATAATTAAACAAATATTAATTCAATAATTCATAATTATTATTAAAAATTATTAATTATCATTTAATAATTTTATATTTAGATTTTGGTCAATTTTAATGTGAAGTAAAGTAGAATCTGTCTTTAAACTTCTTTCTATGAAATAAAAGCATTTTTATTTTATTTATATATTTTAAACATTAAATATATGTTCAGTCAGGTATAGGCAGTGTATTAAAATATTTTAATGCATTAACTGCACAAGAATCTTCTAAATTATACAAAGGATGAATTATTTTTACTAAATTTATGTTAGATGATCCAATAATCAATGGCCATGGAGAATTTTGTGCAATTGACAATCCACTAAGTGCATAACATGTATGATATACATCTTGACTTCTGAAATAATTATAACAATTTATAAAAGCTTTTATGATGACATTAATATTAAGGTCTCATACTTTCCAGGCTTGTCCACAAGACTACCATAAGGATGTTGACAGCAAATTAATAAATATTCTTGTAAGGCCTCTTGATTAAACAACCAATATGCGGAATTGAACACTTTGTTTTCCATAGTTAAAATTGTATGAATTAATGGAAAAGCTCCACCTTGCCAGAATGAATAACAACCATCTACTAACTTCTCTGTGCGTCCTTGGAATCCACCTTCTAAGCGCATTTGTTTATTTACTATCCATCTCTGAAAATAAATATATATAAATAGTGGAACTCTTTAATATAATATTTATTATAATAATAATTGAATACCAAAAATGATTTCAAACAACAGAAATGAGGTTTCCCAAGAAGCACTAGTGCTGCTAATCCACAAAATCCATATCCTCCATGAGCTTCCATGCCAGGAGAACCACCAAAACCACCTTCCCATGTTTGACATTTAGCTATCCAACTTTCACTTTCTTTAAATATTTCAGGAGTATATACATTTGTTAGTTTTGCTACAGAAAGAGCACAATATATTCCTCTTATATCCGTTTCTCCATCTTTATGCAAACTAAAAGAACCATCTTCTCCATGTAAGGATGATAAAAACTGTTTAAGTCCTTTTCTAAAATCAAATATATAAGATTATATAAATAATATTCTTAAAAGGAAATCTTTTGAAATACAATTTTAAAAATTATATTTATTTTTTTCATAGCATATATATATATATACCTATTAATATATATACCTATTAATTACTTGATAAGCTTGAGGTGTACCAATAGTGCATAATGCATTTATTGCTGCATATGTAGAGGCTAAATGAGGATGCTGTCCTGGACCTCCTCCAAAACCTCCTTCTGGTGATTGACATTTGGCTAAAAAACTAATAATTTTAGAATATTCATCATATTCTAAACGTTCTCCTAAAATTTGAAGAGAATGTAGACTCCAATAACACAACCATGGTCTACTAGAATCTAAACACTAAAAAACAGTATATACTATATTATAATAATATTTTAAATACAATAAATTATTAATAAACATAATTAAAAATTTATTTTTACCTGATAAGCTTCACTAAGTTGAAATAAAGATTTTTTTAAAAATTGAATATGTTTCTGTCTTGCTAAAAGAGGTTCATTGTTTAATTTATATAATTTCAATATATCATTTTCAACACGATCCTATAATCAAAACATTTAAAAAAATATTAATAATAAATAAAAAAAGACATATTTAATAAATAATTAAGTTACTAAATATAATATACATAAAAATATACCTGTCGTATTGAACTTGTAGTTTGATATCCTTCATCATCCTGTTTTTGTTTTAATATTTCTGCATAAGTTCTAATGTGTGGTTCATCACGTTCATTAATCATTGAATTCCACATAATCTATTAAACACGTGGATATATTGCATTAACAATTAAAAGAAATAAATGTTGTATTAAAATTTAAGAATAAATATAAAAAAATGGGAATTGCACTAAAAAATTTTAAAAGAGAAAATAATAAAAAAGACGTCTTTTATCATCATTTAAATAATAAAATTTCGCTTCTTGAATGAAATTTTAAGTTTTAAATAAAATTTTTTCAAATTATTATAATAACTATATCACTTTCATGTTGAATATATAATAATTACTTGAAGATGAGAAGAAGGTTAAAATTTCTTTGACATTAACTAATACCACAAATAGGCACAGATGAGGTACAGAATAGACATGTTATTTTATGAGATTTTATGTTCCATGTTCTGAAATACCGACCTCGAAAAAAAACAGTGTTTCTTACGCCCTCTGCAATTTGTTGTACATTTCTATATATCATACCTATTTTATATACAAATTGTCTTATGTGGCATTATTATCTTAATTTATGTTAATATTTATATATTATATATTATATATATTACATATATTTAAGTTTCAGATAAAAGTTCAAAATGATTTTAAGGGAATATTCTGATATTATTTATATTTTTATAAATAGATCATATGATAGACAAATTATTTTTCTTAAGTAGAACTTTGTATATTTTGATACATTAATGTATTGTATTTTTTTTTTATAAATTTATAAATATTAAATCATTTATATCTAAAAACTATTAGAAGATATTTAATTATATTTAATAATTTTCTAAATTAATAGTTTCTCAATTTATATAGTTTTAATTAAATATCAAAACTGTTTTTTGAATGCATAAATTTTGCAGAATAAATATAGATAAAAGAAATAAATAATAAGAAAAAGAGTTATAATAAAAATTGTGAAATCAGTGCTATTTAAAAAGTATTATAAATAAAACAAAATATATATATATATAAATATACATATAATATAAAGAAACAAATTGCAAAAAAAGAATAGAAACAAAGGAAGAATTAACTGTCCACGCCATCTCTTTTGAATAAATATTTCTTCAAAATAAATTTACGAGATGACATTGATTTCTAATTCTTACTTTATTTTGTTTTGTTTATTTTTGAAAAGATATCTTTGATATTCAAAAGATAAGCATTAAGAAAACATTAAAAATCAATTTTTACTTATTTTAGTTTTTTTTCTACTATTTACTTGTTGCCATCCTTGCCTATTTTGTTTGTATGTTTATAACATTATATATTTACAATATTCTAGAAATACTATTGATTCTACTATTTTTATTTTATCTTTGTCCTTCTCATTATTTGCTTTCCTTATATTTGTTTTTAGGCTATATAATTACAATATATCTTGGATGATAATCTCGCAAAATATGGTATATCCTGATATGGAATATCCTGTCTTGAATAACTTTCAAATTTCTGTAACACAAAAATAAATAAATTGAATTAAGTTAAAAGTTTTATATTAAATATATTTTTATATTTTTTCACATAATTACATTAAATTCAAACTTTATTTTAGGATATCAGTAATTGCAAAAATTTTTTTATATTTTCTAATATTTGAATGCAAAAATTAATTTTAGAAATAATTGATGGTGAAATTTATGTAAATGTAAAAGTTAGCATTTTTAGTGTAGTATTACTTTTAAAGAATAACACATAATTCAAGATGAGTGAATCATATCAATGTAAAGATTGGAAAATTTCTTTAGCCACACGAAATAATTTGTTTCATAATAATATTCCATATGTTCCTATACTAGTGGAAAATATTTTCAAATATCTTTCTTTAGAAGATCATGAAAAAAATGGAGTTAAAACAATACAAACTTTAGGAAAACTTATTCCAAAAACTGAAGCATATGCTATGCTTCAATCTTTAACACCTGGAAATAAATCTCAATTTTCTATTAATTTCAAGAACTTAAATGTTAATGATATATATATTAAAGATTCGAATAATGCTTATTACGCAATATGGGTAAATCACTTTTATTTTTTAGCATTATTTGTCTTTTATTTGTTCTTATTTTTATAGCATAATAATAATATATTATCTCATTATTTTATATTATAAAAAAATTCTTTTTTAAGCAAAAACATGATGTTTTTAAAGTATATGGAACTTTGAAGATGGAAGAATCAGGAAATGTGTTGGAAGTTTCCCATTTAGTTCCAGTATATGATATTGAGGGTACATGTAATGTAATGACATTATTAATGACAATTGCACGTACAGAATATCGTCAGTAAGTAGAAAGAAGCAAACTTGGAAAGAAAGCAATTTTTCTTTAATTTTAGATAATAATTTTTATTTTTTTTTAGATATTATCGTACCAAAGAACAAAATAATAAGTTGCAAGAACAATGGCTTAAAATGGGAAAGGAAAACAAAAGACTTACAAAAAAAATTCCATGAAAAATATTATTCCAAAATTATTTACAGATACATGCAAATGTATATAATTATAAAAATGTATGTATTATATTTCCTTATTATTATAAATATATATTCGAATTATTAATATTTTTAATAAAAATATCTGAAAATATATGCATCCTTGTAAAAAGTAATTTATTTGTAATATAGAAAATTTATATATAAATTATAGTTTATATATAAAATATAAAAATATATAGACAGATTGTAATTTCGATAGAAAAATGATGAAATATATTTAATTGATATTCTAAATATCTTTGTATAATAATAATATATACATAATATTTCATTTATACTTGTAATTCTTATCGATGTTTGATTACATTACATTCCAATAACAACGAAATAAATATTAATCAATAATATGTTTATGTATATTTTCGTAATTTTTTATGTTTTTATGCTTTTTTTGTAATGGTTCATTTATTTCATTTTTTCGAAATTATACATCGAAAAGTTATCGTATCGAAAAAAATTTTTGTTCTATTCTTAACCTTAATTTTTATTAGACTATTACAATGTTCATGTTTCTACACTTTACAATCATCACCTTAATTGTATTTATATTTTCTAATTATCTTAATTTTATATATCTTTTTGACATTTGTAAGCAGTGGCTTTTTAATGATATTAATGATTTCCAATTATATGATTTTATCGTTGGTACGTTCATATATATATGTTAATAAATTATATGTTAATATATTTTAAGAATATAATTATATACATATATAAAAATAAATTTGTTTGAAATATTATAAAAGATAAAAATATTCTTCTATTTAGTTGGAGCTGGTACTGCAGGTATAACTTTAACTACAAGACTAGCCGAACATGGATATAAAATATTATTACTCGAAGCTGGAGGAATTGCACCACCTTTTTTAGATATTCCACTTTTAGCTCCTCTAATTCAAAACAGTCCATATGATTGGCAATATATCACTATACCTCAACAAAATGCTTGCAAGGGTTTAAACAACAATGTATAATAATTAATATAAATTAATAATATTTGTCATGAAATAAGATGTATAATTAAGAATTCATTTATAGCAAAGCAAATGGCCAATTGGTAAACTTCTTGGTGGAACTAGTAGATTAAACTACATGCTTTATGTACGAGGACATCCTTTAGATTATAATGATTGGATTCCAGATTTTATTGGTAATTTTCAGCTTTTTGTTATTTTATATCTATAATTATTATTATATATTATTCTGAAAATATTTTAAGAACCTATCAAAAAGAAAGGTGGTTCAATGCATATAAGTGATTTAGAATGGAATACTGGTCTTGCTGATATAATCTTAAAAGGACTGCAAGAATTACAACAAAATATTGGCAATATTAATAATAATTTAAAAAATGGTAATTATATAACAAAAAATAAAAAAAATATAGTTTTGTGATATTTAAATATTTAAATATTCTATTGACTTAGGTTTCATGAAAGTACAATTATTTATGGAAAATGGAAAACGATGGAGTACAGATAAATTATTATATGAATCTCTAAAACATAAATTAACTATTATTACTTATGCTCATGTTGAGAAAGTATATATATTGAAAATAAATTTGAATTTATTAAATATAATTCTAATTTTTTAAATTACTTCTAATTATAATAATATCTTTAATTTATTAATTATTTTAAGGTATTAATGGAATCAAATAGAGCAGTAGGAGTACAATTTATTGCATTAAATAAAAAATTTAAAGCATTCGCAAAAGAAAGTGTTATTTTGTGTGCTGGTGCAATTGGTAGTCCAAAAATATTAATGTTATCTGGTATTGGACCAAAAAAACACTTAGAAGATTTAAAAGTAAATTTTTCTTGAACTTTATTATATTCTATATTAACTTTTCATAATGATTTAATAATTTGTAATTTGTAGATAAATGTAATTAATGATTTACCAGTAGGTCAGCATTTGGTAGATCATGTGCTTACTGGAATTGACCTAATAATGCTTAATATAAGCATAGGTCTCAGTATGGCTAATACTTTGAATCCTATATCAGCATTAAATTATTTTATGTTTGGAAAAGGTAAAATTATGTTCAAAATTCGTAATTATCATTACTCATACCAGTATGTTTTGTCTTAGGACCTTGGACATTTACAGGAGTTGAAGTTTTAGGAACATTTCACAGTTCTTTTCAAAAAAATAAATCAAGTATACCAGATTTAGAAATAATGGTAATGCCAGTTGGATTATCAAGAGATTATGGAATTGTTTTAAAAGAAACTATGGGAATTTCTGAAAAAGTACATTATAAACAAATCTAAAATAAATTTTATATATTATCTATTGACATAATTAAATATTAATTCATTTTTATAGGTATACAATGAATATTTTGGTCCTAATTTATATAAGAATACAATAACAATTGCTCCAGTGTTATTACATCCTAAAAGTAAAGGAGAGATTAAATTGAGAAGTAGTAATTCTTTTGATCCACCTTTAATTGATCCAAAATATTTATCAAATGAAGATGATATTGCACTTCTTATAGATGGTATTTTACTAAACTTATCGTATTATAAAATATAATATTATTATAATATGATATGACAGATTATTTTAGAAAATTGCAGAAGTATTAATTTTTTAGGATTGCAATTCGTTAAAAAACTTATTGAAACCAATGCCATGAAAAGTATTGGTGCATCTATTTATAAAAAACATTTTCCTGGCTGTGAAAACGAAATATTTGATAGCACAAACTATTGGAAATGTTACATACAACATTTAACTTTAACTTCGTATCATCCGGCCGGTACATGTCGGATGGGTGATGTTGTTGATCAAACGTTTAAGTAATTTATTAATTTTATATAATTTTTTATAAAGTTATTTTATTCTTTATATAAGATGTTATATAAATTATTTATTATAGGATTTATGGTACAACAAATTTATATGTAATTGATGCATCTGTATTTCCATTTTTACCAAGCGGTAATATTAATGCTGCTGTTATTATGACTGCCGAAAGGGCCTTTCATATAATTCAACAAAATACAAAATTTCGTAAAAATCGTACAAAATGTTATAAGCCATATGATTATTATCATATACCTTATGATTAATAAATGGAAATAATTCTTCTATTTATTTTTTTATTTTAATTTAATTTAAATGATTAAAATAAATCAAATACATTTATGTTCATATAGCAATCAAAATGAAAAAATTTTATTATATTATAGAAATTTTTTTTAAAAATAAAAACGCAAGATTACGAAAAATTTTACCTGAATTTGTATTTGATATTTTTTTAAAAATAAATAAAGAATATTTTTATCAAACTAATACTAGTAAAAATTATATTTTATTTATATTTAAATTAAGATGTATTAAGAGTAACTATGTCTAATATTTTTATAATCGCGTTTGGAATAATGAATATTCTTATGATTATTATGATGGTTACTATTTTTATGTTGTTCTCTATGATAAGGATGTACTCGTCGAGACCTTCTATCATCTTTATAAGAATAATTATCTATATGTTTCATGTATGAATCTGTATTTGATATCATATTCATTCCGAATGTATCTTCTTTCAAATGAGACATATCATTTCCTAATAACATTTCTTGACCTAATTGAAGCCAATGATTCAAATGAACAAAATTGTCTTGAGAGTTGTTAATTTGTGATAATGCATTTTTCCTTGGGCTCATATTAAGAGGACGATTAAATAAAGATGTACCATCAAATAATTCTAAGGCATATAATACAGAATTGATATGTTTATATGTTACAAATCCATATGTTCTTTGTTTGCCATCACGATCTTTAGGAATAGTAACTCTTTGTACTGGACCACCCTATAACATCGCAGAAAATATTTTGTAAAAAATAAAATTTTAAAATATATTTTGCAACATTAGAAGTATATCCATTTTCGTAGTCTGAAAAATAACTAAATCTCAAAACAATAATTTAAATTACATAATTATTAGAATATAATATTAAACTATTAAAAATATAAATAAAATTATATGTTTAAACTACATATGTATGTATATAATATTAAATATAAAATTATCATATATAATTAAAATTTGAAAATTATTTTTTATTTTTCAAAATGTTGATTTTATTAAAGAGAATTGGAAAATATCTTCTCGAATATTTATTAAATATATAAATTTACAAACCTGTAAAAATAATTCATATAGAATTTCTTCTGTCACTTTTTCACTTAAATTTCCACACCAAAGAGTACGCATTTCTTCATCCATATTGTTAGAATAAGATAGAAATTGTTTATTCAAAATTCTTTAAAAATAATTTTATTGATAACTAAACAAATTACGTTAAGCTGTATTCTCACTAACGAATAATTCATGAACACTTCGTACATAGTTCACTAACAATTTGCAAATTTTTTATAACTATTATTCAAACTTTTTGCGAACATTGTGTATAATAATTATAATAATAATTCATAACTAATTCTCGAACATTAATTTATTAATTTTTTCAGTTTTTTGAAAAGAATCAATATATTGTGTTTGATATTCTTGAAAAATCAAGATTTATAAAAAAAATATCGAATAGTTCCTACACAAGTCTGTGAAAAATTTTATTTCATTCTAATTGATAATTAATTATATTAATTACATTAAATATAAATTATATAATAATTATATTTAATTATATTAATTATATTAAATTATATAAAATATAATTATATTAATTAAAATATAATTAATTATATTTAAAGAATATTAGATTTAAATTATTGATTTAAATTATGTTTTCATACTCAAAAAAATCATAAAATCTAAAAATAAAAAGAATTTTATTCTAAATATGAATTTATTAAGTGTTTGTGAAAAAATTGCATGATAGTTAAAATATCAATAGATGATATTCAAAAATGTTTGCCAGTAACTCTATATGAATAGTTCATAAACAATATGCCAAATAAATATAAGAATAGATGATTTTTAGGAAATTTTTATACTATACGTGAAGAACTGATACTATTTGTGAATATTGATGAAAATGCACCTTTATAAGAACAATGAATGAATTTCCAATAGTTTTTATAATTGACACTAGAGGCTTTAGAGAGCATTTATTTGATTATATCGATTATACGAAATCAATTCAAGAAACTATATTATTCATGATTAAAATTAAAGAAATAAAATTGGCGGTACATATGTACATATATGTTTATGAGTGTTTTGCTTAATGATATTTATATTTTTCTTTTCTTTTCAATAGTAAATACTAAAAAATTATATTTATTTAAAAAAATAAGTAATAAATTTATTTTATGAAAATATATATGCATAAAAAAATGTATAACATAACATAAATTATAATATATTTTCTTAATATTTTTTTATTTAATTAAGTGCATATTATGATTAATTAAATATAATTTATTAATAAAAAAATTTTTATTAAAAAATATATATAATTAATTTGTTAAAAAAATTCAAAAGTAAATAACAATTAAAATGACTTCAAGATTAAATAAATGTTCTGATCATCAAATATTAACAATTCTTGATACAAAATCAAATTCTGATAATGAAGATCAAGAATCATATGATAATATGAATAAAACTAAATTGCAAACAAAAAAAAAATCAAATGCTCAAAATATAATAAAAATTATTTCAGATGTATCTTCAGATACAGAAAATGTGTTTCAAAATTATAAATATGCATTATCAAAGAATAATATTTTACATAAAAAAAATGTTTCTCTTAAAATTAAACTTAGAAGATCTACAGAACAAAGTTTATATAAAATTGATACAGATTCTGAATATGATAATTCTAATCTTAAATCTCAGAATAGACTTCGAAAACAAAAAAGAAGAAATTATTTAGAAAGGAAAAAGAAAAATTTAGAAATAAAAGAATCTTATAGTGACAGCAATGATAATTCTACAAAAACTGAAACAAATGATGAAAAAGAAATGAAACATGTTGAGATTGAAAATGAACAATTAAGAAAGAATAGAAATAGAAGACCACCTTTAAAACTTTCTTATTATTATTGTGATACATTGAATCCTTCAAACCTCAAAAATAATTCTCCATCTTTAAGGCATAGAAAAAATATTAATTATAATGAGAATAAATTACTTATCAATTCTATTGTATCTAACATTAAAAATGAAAATAAACAGAAAAGAAATGAAACTTTAAATATTTCTAATGACAAACAGAATTTAGAATGTTCAAATATAAAAAATAATAAACGAAATCGTATTTCTTATACAAAAAATGAAGAAAATGAGAATAGTAATACAGATACTGAAATATTGAAAACAAAATCTTTGAAAAAATCTAATAAATTTAAAAGTATAAATAAATTAAATCATATTTCAAAACAACATGATATGATAAAGAAACAAAATTCATTATCACCAACAAGTACAAATAGTACACCTGTTAAATCAATTAAACAAAAAAGGATGATATGTGAAACACCAAAAAAGATTCAATGTGTTGATATTAGTAATAGTAATGATGAAGAAGAATGTTTATCTGATATGTATAAACGTATTAAAATTTCATCAGAAGTAAAAATTAAAAATTCTACTTCTTTTAAAATGGATAATCAAAAGAAGATGATTTGTAGAAATATAATAACAAATGATCAATTTGTTGATAAAAATAATAGTAATACTGAAGATGAATGTTTATCTGATATGTATAAACGTATTAAAATTTCATCTGCTAAAAAAAATAATATAAAAAATGAAAAAAACATAGAATCACAACAGAAATCTCATTTAAATACTCCAAAATCTCATTCAATAAAATGTAGCAATTTAACACCATCATTAGTAAAACGGAATAATGCTCTATTAAAACCTAGTACACCATTACAGGAAGCTAGATCTAGATTACATGTTAGTGCTATACCAAAATCTTTACCTTGCAGGGAAGAAGAATTTAATAACATTTTTACTTTTCTTAGAGGAAAATTGGAGGATAAAAGTGGAGGGTATGTAAAAAATACTGCTTATTAAAAAAATTTAATTAATTAATCATAAAAATTTGTAGATGTATATATATAAGTGGAGTACCAGGTACAGGTAAAACTGCAACTGTAAATGAAGCTATTAGATGTTTACAGAAATTGATACTTAAAGGCCAGTTAGATGAGTTTGATTATGTTACAATTAATGGCATGAAATTAACTGAACCACGACAAGCTTATGTACAAATTTTAAAACAATTATATAATAAAACAGCTACATGGGAACAATCATATTCTATACTTGAAAAAAGATTTCATAATACTACTTCTAAAATGACATTACTTCTTGTAGATGAAGTATGATTTTTCTTTAATATTTTATATTATTTATCTATATTATCATTGTTAATTTTTAATATGTTATTATTGCAGCTTGATTTTTTGTGCACAAAAAGACAAGATGTTGTTTATAATCTATTGGATTGGCCCACAAAATCAACAGCTCAGTTAATTGTTGTCACTATAGCCAATACTATGGATTTACCTGAGAGAGTTTTAATGGGACGTGTTACATCGCGTTTAGGTCTAACACGATTAACTTTTCAACCTTATAATTATAAACAATTACAAGAAATAGTTATGTCTCGACTTAAAAATTTCGACGGTTTTAGAAGTGAAGCTGTACAACTTGTTGCACGGTATTATTGCACTATAATAAAGTTCATTGTTTATCAAATATTATAAAATATTTTATTCTAGAAAGGTTTCTGCTGTATCTGGAGATGCTAGACGAGCTTTAGATATATGTCGTCGTTCTATAGAAATTGCAGAATCGCGAAATGCAGAAACGATCTCTCTTCAAGATGTAACAGAAGCTGTATCCGAAATGATTGCATCCGCGAAAGTTCAAGCTATAAAACATTGCTCAAAAATGGAACAAATATTTTTGCAAGCAGTATCTTCAGAAATTATGCGAACTTCGATTGAAGAAGTATATTTTAAAGATGCATATAAGCAGCTTGAATCATTGTGTTCTTTTGATGGTTTGTTTATTCATATTTTCAATAATATATCGATATGATAATTAAAATATATAAAAATTACAAATTTTATTTTTTATCATATATTTATTCATCTGTACAGGTATTGAGATACCTACTGTAACAGAAGTACTTGCTATTTGCAGAAGATTGGGTTCTAGTAGATTATTAATATGTGAACACTCGAGAAACGATATATATCAAAAGATTTTATTAAACATTTCAACAGATGATATTCATTATGCAATGCAAGAATTAGATTTAAATTAAAAATAAGATAATTTTTTAAATATATATATATGAGTGCCTGCAACTGTGATGTATATTACATGTTTTCTCAAAAGTGCCTTAGTAAGGTAATTCAATAAATTATTAATATTTTATTCAATTGATTAAATTGTAATTAATGAATTTTGAAATAAAAGTGATATTTTATTAAATAAATTTTTTTATTTAAATATTAAGTTATTATTATCATTATATGTAAGATTATATGAAATATATATTTATTTATAGATTTTTTTTATAGACCATTATCGATCATTAATGTGTGTCATCAATGTTTATATCTATATTATTAACGAATTATGTAATTCTAAAATTTCATTTGCGAATTATATTGTGAGTTATTAATAAGTAATAGTCAATATATTCTCAATAAAAGCAGTGTTTTATTAGTCGATTTAAAGATATCTTGTTATATATTAAAATTATGGTTAATGAAAATATTGACGAACAAATTTTAACACTTTATAATGAACGAAAATGGATAGATATCATTAATTTAAATTGTAGTTTAATTAAGTTAGATAAAAGCAGATTATTTTGGGTTCTACCAACTATTAATGATTTACAATGGATAAAAGAAGTAATTGATCAAAATAATATGATTGGATTAATTAGCATAGGATGCGGTTGTGGTTTATTAGAATGGTTGTTTGAGCAATATTCTGGTAAGATATTTTCATAAAATATTTTTATAAGTCTAGTCATTTATAATCTTTAAAATCTAATTTTTATTGATTATTAATTAATTTTTTTTTAATAAAAATTAAATCTTTAATTATTTTGTTTAAGGTTTAAATGTGATCGGTATAGAATTAGATCGCTCATGGTGGTGTAGTAAATATTCACCACCTTTATTTTTAAAAAATATTGTTTTCATTCGTGAAGATAATTTTCTTTTGCCGGATAAATATGCTCTTTTATTCTGTTATTTTAATGACGCATTCGCTTTTCATAATTATATGAAAGATTATAAAGGCAATCTTATCTTCGTTATTGGACCAAAAACAGGAGAATATCGATGGACAAATCCAATGCCATTTGATAAAGCATTTAATAAGTTTGGTTGGAAATTAATAGGTAAAAAAAAAATGGAACGAACAAATGATTTTATTACAGTCTACAATAAATGATTAAATTTTGTAAAAATAAAATTTTGAAAAAACATATCGACAGATTGGATTATTTATAAAAAAAAATGAATTTTTTACTTTGTATTAATATTTCGTAACAAGTTTCATGGAAATATTTAAAATATTTTCGGAAAAAATTTATTTCTATTTACATTTTTTATTTTTATAAAATAAATAAAATTTGACATATTGCTTTGAAGCTGTCTTCGAAAAGAAATTTTATCGTTCGACATTCGACTATCGAATTATTATCGAGTATTTCTTGTTGCGATAACAGATTATAGTACATGTGGTATTTTTGTTTCAAGTGTCAACATTATTAATGTCAATAGTGTTTTATATTTATAAATGTCAAACATTTGAAATAGAAAGACATGTCCGCAAACAAGGATATCAGTATATTAAAGGATCAAGATGAGAAAAACAAGTTAAAAGTTTATTGTACATTTTGTCCATCAAAAATGCTTAATGCTGGTGTAGCTCGGCTAGTTAATATTGAGGTAATTGTTTGTCAGTTTTAATATGAAATATATAAATTATATAAAAATTATAATATTGATCAAAATTTCAATAAATATTGCATAATTGTTGTATTTATATTTTATTAGAAACCTAACCTTAAAATTTGTATACTTGTTTTTCTTCTATTTTTTAGTTCTAAGTTCCTTTTCTATTATCTTCTTATTAAATATAAAATACAACGGAGTGCAAAATATTTAATAATTAAACTAAGCTGTGTGATATAATATTTTAGTTTAATCTACCCTATATACATCGTAAGGGAGAGGGTGAAGCTGATCAACAAGAACTGATAACCGATTATTGGTTGGTGGAAGATATGTACACATTTGAAAATATTGGTGTTTCTCATACAGTAGACAATGTAAAATATTTAGCATGTGCTGATTGTGAAAGAGGTCCAGTGGGTTGGCATGATGTATCTACAAAGAAATCGTACATTGCGCTAAGTAGAGTTAAGCACGAATAATTAAATAAAGTTATTTTTTAATTTTATATAAAAAAAATGGCCTATTTTTTTTTATCTATTTATGCATTAAAAATATAGAAATAAGAAAAATCTCAAAAAATGTTTGAAGGAAATCATTTCTGAAAACTATTACTTTGCTATTTAAGTTGATAATTTAATACTTAATCACGTACGTTACAAACACAGCCGATAAATCAGATAATCAATCGTCGTTACGATATAATAATTAATAAATTACGCTTACGATTATATAGAAACAATTTATCAATATACTTATTATGTGTGCATTTTTATAGTAATAATATATTGATGTTTATGTCATTGCGACCATTGGACTGTAAAATTATTTTTATCTGATTATTCTTATTATACATATTAGCATAATTATATGAGTAAGATTTATGTGTATGTACATGTAAGTAAATCAATATTTTACTTAAAAAATAATGTAATCACGATTACGTTATTAAATTTTGCATTTTCGATAGTATATTTAAGAAAATGTAAATAGGAAGTGAATTTTTTCATTCATTTTTCATTGTACATTGTAAATTTTTTACGTTGAAAAAAAAGACATATATATATATATATATATGTAAATTTTTTACGATGAAAAAAAATATTATTATTAATTGTTTTATAATTTTTCATAAATTCTTTTTTTTTTTTTTGATTTTTTCGCTTCATTATGATAACGAAGATAAAGTTTATTGCGTGTTTGTAAAGCCTAAATAGAATCGATTGTAATTATTTATTAAATATTTCCTCTCCTACCCTCCTTTAATCCTTTATGTGAAATATATAGCAAAAATAGTCGTGCATTCGTTTTGTAAATAAAGCTTTACGTTCTGCATTCATCTACCTTTTTTTTTTTCGTATTCTTCTGTCTTTATTATCTCGCACGAGTTTTTTTTTGAATTGAATGTGGAAAAATACGTAATATTGCGCACGAATAATCGATTTACGATAATTACAAATAACGATCGCAACGATGAACATCAATCGTGATATATTATATATAATAATACGCAATGACGTTAATGATATCGTTTATAACGATAATATGATTAAATTTCCCGTTACAATAAATAAAATAACGGACGAAACAATGACAAACATAACGATATATAAACATACATTCATAGAATAATTGAGCTTGTGATAAATAATAATAACGTGTCGATAAAGAATAACGGTGAAAAATATTGGGTCAACGATGCGATTATTAATAAATCCTATGCTACAAGAATTTTTTTCTTTTCGAAATTGCATTATACAATAATACTCGAATATATCGATTTGTTAATCCTAGTTAACACTCAACTTATACTCGTTTAATATCGTTTTCTTTGTCTCTTCTTCAATCTTGAATTACGTTCCTTTTTTTCCTCCGTACACGTTTTATGTACGTGGATACTTTTTTCAAAGGTAACTATCTACATATTCTAATATTCGCAAATCAATTGATCAAGCGATCACCGATCGTGTATCGTTACGCAGAATTTGTATTATTTACGATAAGTTTTTTTTTTTGTTCTCCTTCTTTTTCTTTATGATAGATGCGATGAAAAGGTAGAAAAAATAACAAGACTAGAATCGGATAGACTAGAGAATCGAGCAAATACACACGTGGACGTTTATGTTATAAAAGTCCGACGGTCGTCGCTGCTTAAAGTTAAATTAATCCTCAGAGTTATGACCACATTTACTAGATATTTCGGATATTTATTTTGACATAGATATTGAATTTATACTCTTCTGTCTCTTTCCATCCTATCCCTCCCCATAAAAAATCACCATCATTTTGAATCATCGTTTTCCCATTATATCATTTTCTTTTCCAAAATTGTTCATCATATGATTACCACGATAGCGTTCCACGATATGGCACTCTGAATTACTTTATCTCTCGTTTTCTCTTCCCTTAGACGAGAAGGAATAATATAAGCGTAATCAAATACATCGTTTTAAACGAAACAAAAATGATAACTTCGAAAGACACGAGTTGAGTGAAATCACATATTGGTTACCACAAATTGGTAACGATAAAGACATTCAAATTTTACAGAAAAGAAAAGAATTGTTTCCAGTGTTTTTTTTTTCCTTTTTTTTTTTTTNTTTTTTTTTTTTTTTTTTTTTTTTTTTATAAAATAGACATCAACGAAGTATCGGAGTCGTAATAAACGTATTATAATTAACGTATAATTTTATAAACAGACAGAGATGATTTTTTTTTTCTTCATTATTATGAAAAATGTGCTAATTTGCTTAGTTTAAACTTCGTTAACGCGAGAAGCTATATATTTATATACGTATGTATGTATAACGAATCATTTCTCGATAACGATTAGCATAAAAAAGTTTCGATGCGAAACACAGAATGAAAATACTTTCTGCCTTGAATTATTTTAAGTCTTTGCTTTGGTTTGTATAATATATAAATCTTTTTTTTGTTTTAACATCTTCCAATTATTCGTCTTAAAAAATAAAATCGATTAATATCTATCTCGACTAACAAGTTTTCCAAGTAAGATCAAATTATCATTTACGAGAGTACGAGGATCGAAATAGATCTGTTCGTCCAATATTTTTCAATCTTTTTCGATTTACAAATTCCCTTTTGTAATATTCAGATAAGTTAAGATCCTTCCTTTCCTACACAAGGTAAGGAAAGCGAAGAAAAATTATCAATCTGCTTCATGGATAAGCTCGAAAGCAAAAGGAAGAATGTAATTACATTGAAAATAAATTTAGCATTAATCGTGGATCCACGATCCAAAGAAGTTGAGAACCACTGTATCAGACAGACTTTTGACGCTTTAATAATCGCGCATTAAAAATCGAGCAGAATGAAAGCTGTTCTAAAACTCTTGAAAAGGATCAAAATTGTTTATCGGCAATTTTATATAGTTTTTATTGGTGTTTCTTTTTTTTTTTTTGGGAATTAACCTAAAAAAATTTGTCGACGACAACGACGACGAAGCTCAAAATGTTTTGCGATATTCGACTGATATTCACCCTTCGTCTCACCGATTCCCCTGTAACAAGGTTTTTAATACTGTCTTAACCAGCATCGTCGATCGATGACCATATCGCAGGATCGAACATGCGTGGATATAAATATACGCAATTTGAAAAAATAAATTCTCGCGGAAAAATAGACTCGACTTGAATTGCGAATCGTTCGTATTTAACGATATATTTATATATTTTAAAGAGATAATAGATAATCCGTACACTGTTACGTGGATAGGAATGTCAATATATTGTACGTACATATAATAAAAAATTAGAACTATTTATATATAGGATAGTAATGGTAATTTTAATATTAAACAAGAATATTCGACGAACACGATCCTCCTTTTCAATTATTATACACGTTTAGATTAGTTATTACAATTCAATAAGAAAACGTTGTTGTGAAACGAAGAGTGAATGTTAATTCTATGCATTCTTGAAAAAGAGCATAGCACAAGTGCGGCTAATTATAAAGATTTAGGATTACGTGTTTTTTGGTCCGTGATGTATTAAACATTAACGACATTAATTAATTTATTCATCAAACGCGTCCTATCATTTAAACTTTGTTGCTTATTCATTCACCGCGGATGACAATTGCGTATAAAATATAGCAATAGGTACTTAGAGTCAACGATCATCCTTTTTTTCATCGTCACCAACCTCGGCAAACTTTTCCAACATTCTCTCTCTCTCTCTCTCTCTCTCTCTCTCTCTCTCTCTCTCTTCTTTTTTTTTTATTGTTCCTCTATTGCTTATAGCTTTCAGGCTAAAAAAAAAAAAAAAAAAAAAAAAAAAAAAAAAAAAAAAAAAAAAAAAAAAATTCACCGAGTTTGGAGAAGAGCTATATACTTTCGCTCTTCGACAAAATATGTATATATATATATAATTTTAGACGAATCGAATCGTTCGACCAAGGCAAACTCCGCCTCCATGCAATTATATTCGTTGTGTCGATTACGCGTTTATTCGTCTTACTTTACTCGAATATCCTTTAAATCGGCGCCATAATAACAAGAGAAGCTTATTTTTCGATTGTTGGCCGTGTACAGCATCCGTATGATTAACATCTACGATCCTAATTTATTTATAATAAATATAGCGATGCGGTTTACAATTATATCGTTCGCATAGTGTTGTCGCTGTAAAATCACGTTTTTCTCTTTTTTTTTTTTTTGTTGTCGCTGAAAAACCAATTGCTTATTTTTCCTCTCCCCCCCCCCCTCCTCTTTTTCCACTGTAATCTTTAATCAAATAAACGAACGGTTGTCGCAAGGTTCTGTATTTGCGCGCGCGCACGTGTGTGTGTGTGTGTGTGTGTGTGTGTGTGTATGGTCTGTACGTGACGTGTGAAAGATGGAAAAATTGGAAACGAGGTCAAGGTGAGATGATGCGTTCGATATAATTATACAGAATTGATTCTGATTATTCTAAACACGTAATACACGTCGTGTGTGTGTGTGTGTGTGTGTGTGTGTGTGTGTGTGTGTGTGTGTGTGTGTGTTTCCCTCCCTTTTTTTTTCTCTCTTCAGTGCACAAGTTTTTCTATACAAGTTTGAGCTTGGTGAAATCGTAAAAAATCTCTTCCTTCATAATCCTTCGCTCGAAGAAAATTTTCTTCTTCAACGATTCGACTTTAGCGAATTTACCGCGAAACACGCGAACTCGATTCGATAAATTCTGTGAAAGCGCGACAAATGATGGAATACTTTTTTTTTTTTATTTTTTTTTTTTTTTTCTTTTCTTTTTTCTCCTTCCATTCTTCCTCTGCGATTATTCGATATTGCTGAAGAATTGTAGTGGCACGTTCGACTCGAAGTTGGTTTTTTTTATGTATATTTCCTCTCGCTCGATGTAATCTCACCAAAAGTTCGTAATAAGAATATACGTTTATAAATAGCGATAACTTTACAGTAATTACGGTAAATAGCAGTTATTTTAATAATAGTGGTAATAATAGTTATTTTTTAATGATATAACAATAGTAATATTAATAATCGAGACG